CACAAACACCGTGTCGAAGAGTGCCGAAAAGAAACGACGTTAGACGATGCACGGCCTTCAAGCCACACCTCCGTGCCCGTCGGAGTGGGGAGCGTGAGGTTTTTTCGTTACGGAATTTCTGGATTCGGTCCCCGCGCTCAAGGCCCGCCATAGAAGCTATGCAATAGCTTAAAAATTAATATGAAAACAAAACATATAAAAACTCCACGGACATTCTCCTTCTCTCTAACCTCCATGGTTGCTACTTAAGTGAGATATGCGAAAATATGCCGTTTTGTGGATTATCTTGATATATATAAATTACGTGTCACGTTGTTTGTCCGCGATAGGCTCCTAAACTACTTAACCGATTTTAATGAAATTTGCACACCGTGTGCAGTTTGGTCCAACTTGAGAGATAGGATAGTTTTTTTGCCCATGAGTAACCCACAATTTATTTTTTGCGAATTTAAGGATTCTTAATAGGACATGACAGGGTCGTAGAAAGGGCAGAACAACGTCTGCCTGGCAGGCTAGTCTTATATATTACCTCGATATAGTAATCTTTATTTCAAAACTATCAATACTGTTCTTTTTAAGATATTCAAAAGTAAATACTTTCCTATGACAGCCAAGAAAAAAGTGTTTAAATCGTGTATCTTGCCATGTCTCATGAAAGAAAGAAGTATGTTGGGCGTTACGCTTATGGACCGAAAAAAAGAGCAGAAGATATCATATCTACAGTAACGAAACAAGATAGTTCAAATGGCAATGGATACATAAAAAGGGAAAACAATATAAAATGGACTCAAATCATAAGGGAATGGCACCCTAAAAGGCGAACAGATAATATCAAGATTATTGGAGGGACAATCTGGTTAAAAAAGCTAACAATAGACAAGATTTGAAAGAGCTAGAAGAGGCCTGTGTGTCACAGGACAAGCTGACCACTAAAATGTGCTAGATTATAAGTTGAATAATATTCACAAGGAATGAAGGCTTAATAATATTCACACAATGGCAAGGGAAAATAATATGTTATTACGACCTCTCAGCCTTCAATAAATAGTAGTATGTCAGCTTTACTATCCACGCTATCTTTATTTACGCGAGATGTTCAATATTCAGATCAGCGATTAGAAACAGCGCCAAATTAGCGAGACATCCGGCACTGCGATCGTAAATCGGTCGACCAAGCGTGATGATCAGGACAGATCTTTTTACAACGGGAGAGACCCTGTCCATACTGGGCTTTTAGAAGCATATTACATTGTATAGTAATGAGCACGCTTATTTACAGTTATAAAAATTTATAGAAAATAATCATTCAACATTTTTCAAGGATGAAAACCTATATCTAGCCATTTACCGGTGACTTTGAATTGACTGTTAACTATTTTGTCACTAAGTTTTAGTAGTAGTAGCTCGCCTCGCTTCAAACGCAAAAATTGAAACCTAAATACAATTACTGCTATTTTGTATAACTGCTTACATTGTAGAATTTTTTTCAAAAGAAACATCTTTGAATCAGAATAATTGTTCCTTAATGCTTAATGCATCTGCATGTTCTGTTAAATAAACAACTGTTATAAAAACTTCAAATACAGAAGAATTTACTCATTTCCCATTTAGAACACTCACATAAGCGCAGAGTAAATTAATACATATATCGGTTGTAGTCCTGAGAGGCAGTAACGCTGTTGTTTCGGCAACTTTGGCATTTCAGCCCACTGAAGGAATCCCTAAAGAAAGATGAACCTACCTTCTACAATGGTTTCGATTTAAAAAAAAATATGTCAATTGTGTTCGGGCGTAATTAAAAAAGTACAACAATGTGATAAATATTCTAAGTGGTTGAATTCATTTAAACAGATTTCGGAACTTTCATGTCGAAAGATAACGTTATAATAATTTCAGATTTGTCAAATGTGTAAGACGGTGAACTGCAATTATATCCCTGCAAGTCCGTCTGACAAGCAAAGCAATTTAAAAAAAAAATCGATTATAAAGATTAGGTCCGTTTTCAACTGAAAACCAATTAATTATTGAGGCTGAAGAATAATAATATATTTCTCATACTACATAAACGTATTTTTCCTTGTTAGCATCCGAAAAATCTAAAGATTGTTTTAATCCAATATATATATAATATTTTGTATACGAAAATATGTATATCTCATATTCACTGAATATTAAACTCATCCCAATGTGTTTAGTTATAAGTTATGCAAATATCATGCTTCCTCCTTCAATAAATAACTCTGCCGTGGACTTTGTTCTCCTTTTAAAATAAATGCAGAATGTTCACATAAATGGACGTAAAAAAATTAAGCTAATGTAGCACTAATTAGTTTGGATTCGCGACGGCATTTTCAATTGAGGTAAAAAATTGATAGTTTTATTGTAACATATTATCATCTCAATAAAGCTGACATAAACAGATGAAATGAAAGTAAGGCAATATTTCTTGGAAAATAAATGAACGGGAAAAAATAAAACCGAACGACCGAGAGATATAATGCTACCATGCGCCGTCTAACGCATAAAGACCCTGTTTTAATTATAAACATAGGTACGCGACATGTGCCATAAATGGAGTAACTCTTATAACGAAAAAAATTGTTTGTCACATAATGAAATAAAATTAAATATATCTTGTAATCTTCTAAATTAAGAATGTTTGCTGATTTCTATTTAACTAATGTTGAGCCACGTGGTGGCGGTGTAATAGAACCATGAGCCATCACCCCTTTGGATCCCATGGGTGTCGTAAAAGACGATAACAGTCAACGACAGAAAACTTTTATGGCTTCCGATAGATGGCATAAAGCCAATGCCCATCTTGTTTACACCTATTTATTTTACATAAGAATTAAAATACTCGGACCGGCGAGGAGCAGCAGAACAACAGAACATGATATGCTTAAGAAGAGAAACGAAACTGTTTGGTATTAGAAACTAGACATTTCCATCTTAGTCCTCGGAGGTGACTACGCGTCTACGCGTTTTTAATCGATAACTGATGTAGATATCTATGGGCGACAGCATCCACTTACAAGTTAATGGACTGTATGCTTATTTGTCACCCTTACTCTATAAAAATATATAAAAACCTACTCCACTATTAACAAAATTAAATTTTTGCAGTAATATTTTACGATTTTATTTCGTAGTGCTGAGCTCTCGCAACGCGGTGTACGTCCACCTAGCAACACGATGCGCCCCGCACTGAATTCGTGGACGAATGCGGGGGTGATATAGACGCAGTATTTAATCGGGACGCATTTTTAATTTATTATCATAAAAATAATACATATTTCTAAAAAGTAACCAAACCAAATTATTTTATTTTGTATTGCAAAGCAGTAGATATTTTTTTTTATATTCCTTTGATAAACAATGAAGGAGTAAAGTGGTTTCATCTCAACGATTTGGAGGTGATTTGGGTATTTTTTTATTTATTATATGACACCGATAGAAAAATTATGGCTAAACCAAATTACGTATCAGATCATGTAGATTACTAGCTATTTTTTCATATGTAATTTCTCTGTAAGTGTCGACGAAAAGTTGGTTCATCTGCACGCTTTTTTCAAGCTTTTTGCGAGAGAGCAGCCTTAATAATAAATGCACTTTGTTCATTCATATTCAAAATTTCAAAACACTTTATACACAAACACTGTGTCGAAGACTGAGGAAAAGAAACGACGTTAGACCATCGTTAGACAATGCACGGCCTTCAAGCCACACCTCCGTGCCCGTCGGAGAGCGAGGTTTTTTTCGTTACGAAATTTCTGGATTTTCCCGCACTCAAGGCCCGCGATAGAAGCTATGCAATAGCTTAAAAATTCTTAATACTTATATATCTTTTGTGAATAGGTACTCAAAATTAAAATATTATTTTAAATTAATGTTTTAAAGACAAGAGATTAAAGAGTTAGCGACTTTGATTGATATTTCATTCATAATTTTGAGAGGATTGTAACTTATTTAAACTTTGACGTTTCTTTAATATCTGACATCCGAAGTCATGTATGAGAGTGAGTCCAAGTCATGGCTGTCGTAAGTGGCGACTATGGGTGCTGTCAAAACAAACCTGCCTGTCAATAATGACGTTGACGTTTAAGGGAAAATCCTTCCTAGAATGGGAGAGGCAGAGCAGAGTCCAGAATTGAAACACCAGCAGTCTATATTTAGGCCTCAGGAATAAAACCATAACCTTTATATAAAACATTAAGGTACGTGATGTCTTTTATACGTGGTAGAGCCATGCTGCAATTATATTAGTAGTATAGTTGTAGCACGAATGGGTCGGCTCGACTGGGGAAGGACCACGCTCTCACAGAATACCAGCGTGAAATAGTAGCTTAACGCTGCTGTGTTTTGTATGGTGAGTGTAGAGAACCGGAGACCCTTTTTACTGGAAACGAGGCACTCCATCTTAGTCCTCACGGGTGACAACGCATCTGCATTTTGATTCGTAATCAAGGATGGATGTAGATGTTTATGGGCCACAGCAATCACTTACCATCAGGTGGACTGTGTGCTCGTTTGTCACCCTATTCTATAAAAAAAAACGTGAGGGTAATAAGATCACCTTAAGCTTTGCCGCCGTATGAAACCAAAACTAAGAGGAGGACAGAGATGAAAACATAAAGTCGAATACTATAATTAAGATATTAATGAAAAAAAAAACAAGCTATGGCAATAATTAGGAACACTTCGAAAAATCTACTTAAAAAAACTAACTACACTACACCATACTAAAATCGACTAAAATATTTACTATAATGTCAACTGTCAACTGACAAAATGGAGTCGATAAAGCGGCGCCCTTTTGACTCTATATTATTAATCGACCGATGACTCTTCATAGCTCTCATCATATCACACAGCCATCTATACAAACATTGCTGTAGTTTTAGCGTTATAAGAAAGTGACCATATTAAACGGTTGACCATATTACCGTCATGTACTCTATATAGGCAATATATTCATATATTTATAAAAAAGTACATACTTTCGTCGATGGTCTGCCTCGCGTCGATGGTCACTTCACAACGTTCGCGGAGCTGTTGGTTGCATTCGTGTTTAAGTGTCAGTCTGTCTTTAAACCGTCTCCTTGACTCTTGTACAGCTGGAACAACGTGCGTTAGTAATTTTTTACAAGTAAGGGTTTCGAGGCTAAATGCAGTCTTAAGTTCCTGCAAGAAAGTCCAACTTGTCTTCATCTCGACTCAACGCAGATTTATAAGGCTGAACGTTCTCACCGGCATCACTTGCAAGTGCGTCGTACGGCATACATAACGTGACCAGACGTCCCGTTTTAAACGGGACTGTCCCTTTTTATAGTTACGAGTCCTGGTGTCCCCGAAATAAACTCTGGGACGCAAAATTGTCCCGTTTTCTGAAATCGCGTGAAAATAATTTGTGTTGTTGTTACTAAAATACTTCTTTGAAGATCCCACATCCGAATTATGGCTTTATTCTTTACACGCTAATTCAGCAAGTTTTGATCAAGCTGTATTGAAACTTGAAGTTCAAACTGAATCGGTTATTGAAGATGCGAAAAAATATCAATCAACTGAAAGACAATTAGACTCAGAAACAGACCAATCAGTTTCTTTCATTTACGGTCCGTCAATTAAAAGTTAAATCGAAAGATAATATTACTGACATAGATGAAAAATTGGTGAAAAGAGCGGCTACAGAATTTTATGAAACAAGCCGTAAATATCTGGAGCAGTGGACTTGCTTTCTTGCCAAATAAATGGAGATATTTTATGGGGCAGATTTAAAAAAGTTCCGCATGAGAATGGGAAGACGTTCAAAAATTGTGGATTTATTAATTGAAAAGGAATATATTGACTGTAATAAAGATGCAAAAGTTTTTGACGATTTACAAATTTCAGTTCTAAAGGCGATGTTGATAGTTTAGGCGATTATAAAAAAAAGGTGCCAAGAGTTTCATTCTTACTTAATATCACCACCAGCTATATTAAAGCAAATTTGTTGCCGTGAGAAATATAAATTTAAAATATAAATTTTATTAAAATAAATTAAAAATAATATAAATTAGTAATATAGATCTATCTGTAAATTGACCTAAATAAACCAATGTCCCAATTTGAATCAAAAAATAAATGGCCACGTTAGGCATACATTACACACCGCCATTACGTTCGCACCGTCGTCACTTGCCCTTACGCACACAGCATGCATTCCCCACCGTCATTAAGGACGCACCGGCAATTGGACTGCACTATCGACTTCCGGTCTGAGCAGGAGGTGATGTGGCGGCGCGCCACAAGTGAAACACATCCAAGCCTAAATCGCGCTATTAGCTTATTAGTAAGTTCCGAAGTAAAAATAGCATATTATATAGAATAGCTTCTCCTTTCCATTGCCACATACGTATAACGTTCACTCATAATTAGATATTATAATTATGAGTTTTCGAGGAAATAAATTCAACAGGCACTATTGACGCTTTAAAGCGACAACGGCGAGAACGCAAATGAAGGATAGTTCCAAATTAGGGACGGGACTACTTGATGATCATAGATAAATCGATGTTTTAAAATGTATGTAGGTTTTAACATTATTAATTTGATGCTTACATTTGTATGATGTATATTAATCGTATTAATAATAAAGTAACGCTAATTCTTCAATGGACGCATTGTTTGTATTTTTTATCAATATTTTAGTTCAGTTAGCACAATCTTCTTGTAAATTCTAGAAGATTAAATTACCCCATCACTAGTGTCGCTTCAAAGCGACAATGGCGTCTTGTGAACGTATATTTTGAGGTCTTATCTTCGCCAAAAACAAGTTCAAATTTGGAATGAATACTAGATAAGAAATTACTAGAAGATCAAGCTTAACTTTGGTTCAGTTTAATTAAGTGATATACGGAGAAGACAAAATTAAAAAAAATATATTTTCTCCTATTCTCTATAATATAAGATTATAAAGTAGCACATCTATTTGTCACCTAAAATCGACGCTGGCGTTCTAGCGACCAATTACGTTTGTCGCTTGTAAACGTCGTTGGCTTTCAAAGTGTTAAAATATATTAATTGAAAAAAAAAAAACTTTAGTCACCTTCATGCACCAGATCATTGAGCGAGCAGCGGATTTCATGTCGAAGAGGGAATCGCTCGTCGTTCAACTTCTTTGCTTTTTCAGGAAGACCTACAAGACGAAATATCGATAAGGCTGATATCGATGTAAGAGATAGGGATGTAAGAGATGCCGATGAAACATTTAAACATAGATGCAAAATAAATTTAATACAACTAGCCAGCCGCCCCTGCTCCGCACGGGTCAACTATAGGGCTACCAGATCCGAAAATGAGTTTTCCTGGCAAAATCCCTGGAGGTGGCAGCAAAAATATCTAATTATAAAAAACTCGTGCATGTACTTAATAGCCCCTCTACACGATGGGCCATCGCGATGGCCCACTATGATGGGCCAGCGTCTTAAGGGCGTAGTTGTGTCGGATGACTTATGGCGCGTGCGATGGTCTTGGGGATGCGTACGGCCAGCGATGGCGGTACGCATCTACACGTGGCCCATTCCACAGATTTGAGCGCTCGACGGTTGAGTGTGGACGTTCATGTTTTGTTTATCAATTAACGAATTAAAAAGTCGAATATATGGCCTCATAATGAAGTTATAAAATTTTAATCATAGAGCTACTGAAATCAGAACATATATATAATTTGTTCTTTATTTTGAATAATTATTTAATAAATTATTAATATAATTATTTAATTATTGGTGTTTAAGAAAACTAAACTATCGAGTAGCGTTATTAAATTTTGAATTTAGATGATAGATATGTTACAACCCAAACTGTATTCCCCGATTTTGTTATCATCAGTTTTCTGAACTGTCCCTCACTATGGAAACATATTTAAAAACGCATTTACGTCGAAATCCCGCTGGAATTTTACAATATGCACGGTTTTTGTGAGGAAAACATCATGAAAAATGTGCATACGAGGCTCTCAAAGGCCACCCCTTTGTTGTCGATATGGTACTCATTCCACGCACTGAACCAAACGGTTTGCTTCGTTGTTCCTAATGTTTACAGCAAATGAGTGAAATAATAAATAAATAAATTTTCATTCGCATATTTTCACGAGTATTTTTATTGAAACAGACTCATGTTTAAAAAAGTTAAAGTGAAGTTACAGCCTATATTCCCCCACTCCTCGGCACAGGCCTCCACTCATTGTTGAGAAGGTTTAAGAACAAGTGTCGACCGCCCTACTCCTATACGTGCACTAAGTACGCCTTAGAAATATTTTTTTTTAATTTCTCAGACCAGCCAGTTTCCTCGAGATGTTTTCCTTCACCGGCGAACAAGCACACCTAATTGTTGTTAAAGATTTCATTAGTACGAGCGGGAATCAAACCCAGTTTGCTCGCGCACTGTGAAGTTTACTACGAGTGCTTATTCTCTGAGGTACAATGGTTTCCTGCTAGTTTAAAGTCGAGACTAATTAGAAGCTTCTTTTTGTAATAAGACAGTAAAGATTTAACATAAAACTCACGCCTGGTGTGTCTCCAGCGGGGATCGTCCCTAGAAACAGTTTCCTCGGGCTTCATCTCGATACGACAGGAGCGACAGCGGCACTGATCATCCAGTAGAGATCCACACTGTATGCACACTTCTGTAATTTTATAACTTTATTTTAAGTGGCAAACGAATTTACAGTTTGCCTGGCAGTAAGTGGCTATACAGCCCATATACACTTGCAATTAATTTCATTCTAGTTCTTCCCAGGTCTTCCTTCCCTTTCAGTTCTTCCTTCAAGCTCATTTCCGCTAGGTTTCTTGCTGGTTCTTCTCAAGACAGAGGTGTGTTCCGAACCAGTCATGATCATCATCATCATTACAGCCCACTCACACAACAACTCAAGTCCACTGCTGAACATAGGCGGAGGCCCAAGTATTGCCACAAACTATGGTCCTGAGCCATCTGCATCCATCGACTTCCTGCATGTTTTACCAGATCGTAACTCCATCTAGTGAAGGACCGCCCTACACTTCGCCTGCCGGTACGAGGCTGCCACTCGAGAACCCGTTTTCCCATTGGTTATCGATTCTTCGAGCTATATGGCCGGCCCATTGCCACTTCAGTTTACTATTCCGTGGGCTATGTCGGTTTCTCTGGTTTTGCTGCGAAAATCCTCATTCGTAAACATACCACGCACAGAACCAGTGGTAAAGTAAAAAATGAGTTTCAATAAGAATTACGTGTTGTCTTTATAATATAAAAAAAGATTCTATTCTATTCTTTTTTTTACAAGATAGGGTGACAAACGAGCACACAGTCCAACTGAAGGTAAGTGGTTGCTGTGGCCCATAGACATCCACATCTATAAAACGCAGATGCGCTGTCACCCGTGAGGACTAAGATGGAATGCCACATTTCCAGTAAAAAGGGTTCGGTCTCTACACTCACCATACGAAACACAGCAGCATTAAGTTGCTATTTGACGCTGGTATTCTGTGAAAGCGTGGTGCTTCCCCGATCGAGCCGACCCATTCGTGCTACTACTATAATACTTATATAGCCGCATCATGGCTCTACCACGTATATTTATTTTATACAAAGAAGATAGAGCTGCGTCGGCACTTTCGGTCTTTCGGATACTAAGATGGAATGACTCACGACCTGTAATTACACTGACTCTTTATAACCTTCAGACCGCACAAAGCAGCGCCATTCGACAACAGAAATACGTAAGAGAATGATACCAAGACTGGTAGAGAGACCCCTGGGCAGAGAAGAATTTCAACTACTTAGTAATGCTTTTTCTAAATACACGTCTTATACATTACGCTATTTAATACGTGGTAGAGCCATGCTGCAGTTATATTAGTAGTATAGTTCTAGCACGAATGGGTCGGCTCAACCGGGGAAGGACCACGCTCTCACAGAATACCACCGTAAAATAGCAGCTTAACGTTGCTGTGTTTTGTATAGTGAGTGTAGAAACCGGAGACCTCTTTTACTGGAAATGAGGCATTTCATCTTAGTCACGGATTGATGTAGATGTCTATGGGCCACAGCAACCACTTACTATCAGTTGGACTGTGCACTCGTTTGTCACCCTTATTATATGAAAAAACCTGTATCCATCTACTTCCTTCCTATCTTACCAGCTGGCCTATTTACCAACATTGTTGTCAACAAAATGATAGTCACAAAGCGTATTTTAAATAGCTTTTCTTTAATAACGACCATTTCTCAAAAAACATACTACGTACTACTATGTACTTCAGATTGATCACCTTGTGAACCTTTTTCTTTTTACATGTGGTAATGCCTACGCATACACATCTTCATCGAGAAAACATCACCAACCCATGGCAACCCCTCTTCTGAAGAGGTACCTATTCGGCCTCTAACTCCACCTGCGTAACTGACCCCCGAGTCTGATACGTGGTAGGCCGTGTGCCGGGAAATGGTCGCGGAACGTAGGGAGAGTGGCGTGTCGCAAGGCCGACACGCTTCTTTCCCCCCGGCCCCCCTATGCTGTAACGGTAGGGGATAGGGACACCCCTCTCGCCGCTGCCCACCAACATTCATCTGAAGTGGGCTCACATAGCCCATTTGGGGTGGCCACCTCAGGCCAGACATGTCAGTTCCTTTTTCTCACCGCAGGTGACCAAGCCAACTATGCTAAGCCCCCTCGCCACGGTAACCCGTTCGGCAGTAAGGTCAGCCATACATTTTGCTTACAGTTACGAGGCTGCCGCTAGAAAACCTTACTTCCCCATCGGTTGCCGGTTCTTCGAGCTATATGCCCACCCCCAATGCCGCTCCAGCTAACTCATCCTTTGGTTTTGTCCCAGTTTGGTATATGCCCAGCTTATATGGAGTTGTTTCTTTGTTATAGTCTGTTACTTTACTATCTATATAACCTTTTTTGATTTCTGCATTATCTACAAATCCGAATATAGTCTGCCTCGCGACGTCCATTTTGGCCTCTTGTAACGTTGCGATGCGATGCCTCGAGGCCGCTTTGTGAGCCTCCGGTAACAAGAACTGTTGCACCAGCTCTGCAACCAGTTCATGTTGTTCTGCCGTTGACCTGGAAGATATTTAAAACAATCAAGGGAAGGGTCTACTCCTTTCTCAATGGCCGGCATCGCACCTGATATTCTCTGGTGTTGCAGATATATATGTCCGGAGGCAACCACATATCATCACGGGCGAGATATGTACATGCTCGTTTGCTCACTACCTTTAGATTAATGCAGGATCGAATTTTGGTCGAAAGTAAAAACAAAACAAAGTTTTGTTAACACGTTCCCAGCGACACTGATTTATCTATACTTTCCATTACTGCGTTACGAGACGTTTGAAACCTCGTTTTGAACCAGAGGTTGTAGCGGCACGAGGCTTAATAAATTCCACCACCCACATGACATAAAAATCCTTTTTTTGGCGCCAAATAAGGCGAATTGTATGGTTTTTGTCGCGATTATTATTATTAATGAGTTGATTAACCTAAATCTGCCGCCGCCTGTGGGTAGGTTATTTAGTTTAGATTCTATATGTAAAATAAAATGTGGGGTCTCATGTTCCCCATACCGCACTGAAAAAGGGCAGTTTTTCATATTGTTTAGTGATGGGGAAAAAAATAACGATTTTATTTAATTATACTTATGGATGTTTTTACTAAAACAGGTCAAACAATAATATTTTTGCAACAGATACATTCTGTGAGAATTTTCTTTGCTATTTTGTCAGCCTCACGACTTGATAAGAAGTTGCGAAGTTTTTCGTAGCATCCTGCACATATCCTCTTCTTTGATCCTTTTTCGAGATGATGTGGATTGTTTTTAGGGAAAATAAAAAAAACTGATACTTAGTGTATTTTTGAAGCGGGTTGATTAGGTGTAGCGATTTATTTGAGCATTTCTATACATAAGTATGGGCTCGTTACGGCCGGTAAGTGTTTTGCTTTTGTCAGGTGGATTTATTTGTTATATTCCTACATAATTATTTCACTTAGACTGAGTATAATTTGTAAATATTGATTGGAATCTTACCTGTTTTTCAAATATCGGTAATTTAAATTGAATTTCCATAAACATATTATTAAAACGTGCAAAGAAGCGAATAAAAGTCTAGGTTTCATAATAAGAACTTCGCATCAGTTTAAAAATGTCCGTGTGATAAAACTCCTGTATAATGCCTACGTGCGAAGTAAGCTAGAGTATAACGCCCTAGTATGGAACCCCCGAGAAATCATGTATACAATGATGGTGGAAAAAATCCAACGTAAGTTTGCCAGATATCTGTATAAACGCCAGTATGGATACTACCCATTTCTATATCCGTCAACATTTGTATCGGGCATGGTTGGTCTGGATACCCTACAGTGTAGGCGGGAACTTATGCATATAATGCATTATTATTTCTTGTTAAGTAACAAAGTAGATAATCCTGCAGTTCGTGAGACCATACATCTTTATGTACCGGACCATTATGTGCGAGGTGTTGGTAGACGTAAGCGTAGACTCCTCTCCTGTCCGCGTACGTGGCGCTCCCCACACGTAGATAACAGTCCCACTTCCAGAGCCGTTAGACTAATAAACTGTTTTCTCAGGGCCAATCCAGACGCAGATATATTTTTTGACAAACCCAGCGTAATGTATAAAAACGTATTAATATTCTTAAACAACTTTTTAAGATAGTAGAATAGTATATGTTTGGGTAAATAAGTTTAATTTATGATATAGTAAATAGATCTCATTATACTGTTGTGGCTGTAATTTATATTGTGTATGGAAATTTAATAATTGGTGATTTTTTTTCTTGTGTATTTTATCTTACTTATACAGATATAAGCGATTTGGTTGTATATACTGTAAGCTTATATTTTATCAATAAATGAATATGAATTAAAATTAGATTTACCACCCAATTCCTCTTAATCATCAATAATATTATTAATTAACTTTCTTCGGCAACGTTTCGACATCTTATTATATCGTCACAGGTGCAGCGTTCAACGTTTTGCACAACACTAACCACGTAAAGCTAACGTAGGGTGCGGTACGAGGTGTGCAGGGTACGAGGTGTTCGCAACCTCGTAACGCATTGTATTAAACTTTAATTTATTCAGTGCAGTACGAGGCCTAAAAAATCCGGTATTAAGGTAGGTATACCAAAAAACTCGGCGTCAATAGCACATCTCAGATATATAGTTGTTATCTCTTTCCTAGACTGAACCAGACGGAAGTTACGTCTCTCGCACGACAGAGAAGTTTAAGTTTTTCCTTACCGCTATAAAGACGAGACACGGACGAGGTGTTTCAAGCCTCGTTTCGCAGTCATCGTGTTAATTTAGAAGTCGCTACTGCCCATCTTCTACTTTGTCGTTGATGTTTTTTTTCCTTCTAACGCCTCTTGAGACACCAACGAAACGATATGGAGTAGTGAATATTTTTAAAGCGCCACTACACGGTTTATATACGTTGTGCAAAAGCTGAATATATACTTTTATACCTTGAAAGTAGTTCAATCGCACATCGCTCAAATCAAAGGAGCAAACGAGCATGTACGAGTATCTCACCTGATGATATGTAATCGCGTCCGCAAATATACATCTCTAACACCAGAGAACAGCAGTGTACTGTTAACGACGAACCCAAATTTAAAATTTCTAAGTCACGTGTTTTATACGCGGTAGAGCCTCGCTACAGCTATGTTATGTTTGTAGCACGAATGGCCGACTCATTCCACCGCGGAAGGACCACGCTCTCACAGAATACCAGCGTAAAGTAGCAGATTAACGTTGCTATGTTTCGTATGGTGAGTGTAGAGATACGGAGACCCTCTTTTACTGGATTCGAGGCATTCCATCTTAGTCCTCAGGGGTGACAACGCATTTGCGTTTTAATTCTTAATCGCAGAGTGATATAGATGTCTATGGGCTATAGCATCTACTTACCATCAGGTCTACTGCTCTTTTGTCACCCTTATTCTAATTTAAAAAAAAAAAACTAAAGTGGTCTAGAGTGCCCTTTTCTTTTCAGAACTTGGCTGTCACACTGTCGTATGTCTAGGTTTATACATTAAATATCTTAATTAGGTCACTGCAGATTCGTTCCTTGTTTTTTTGATAATAATTTACTTGCTGTTTCAAAGTGTAAAATAAAAATATTTAATTATTTTTATAATTATTTTCTTCATCTTCCTCCCTCTCTCTTCAATCTCTCTCTGTCTCTCTCTCTCCCTTTTATTCTTTTTTCTGTTGTATGTTACAACAGATCTCTGTTTGAACACTTACATAGACCCGTTGTCCCTCATCGCCTCATCGATCCTGTCTGCCTTGGCTTGCGCCATTTTCACCGCATCTTCTTCAGCAGCAAGTTCCACCCCCTCCTGGATTATGTCCCGCAGGTACGCGTCAACCGTTTCTTGGGTCACACCGAGAACCTATGAGTACACTTAATTATATATTCGTTGGTGCGTCCGTTGGTGACTCACACAATGTATTTTTTCATCGATATGATTGTCTTTAGCTATTATAGCATCCGGTAGGTGGCGATGAAGTCAAATTATTTAGTTATTGACTTTAATATTAATATGGACCAAAATGACTCATATTTACAATGCATGTTTGATTTAGTGTCAAAAAAGAAAATCACATCTGCGCCCGAAAGATGGCGCTGTGTTTGAATTATCAGTAAATTCATTAAGTACAGTGACGGCAAAGCAAAACTCATCACCATTACCGGAAATGGCAGAACAACGTCTGCCGGGACATGAAGTATATATTCGTATGTTTTATTTTGTTGTTTACTGTTCCATCAAAGGAAACCAATAAAAATTGTGGTAGATCGTTAAAGAATATAAACATCAAACGATCTACTTTCTGTTTTTCAATAACAAAAAAGGGTTATAAAAATTAACGTAGATGTTGGATTCAGGGACTCATCACCTCATCACCTATTTGTATATATTGGATGGCTTGAAAACTTTTTCCATAGATAACTATGAAAAAAGAAAAAAAAAAACATCTTCTTACATCTCATTGTGGCCGGACATAGGCACCTCATAACACAAATGGAAAACAAATACTAATGAATATATTTTTTATTTCTTTTTTGCACTTTTTTTTTAAAGCATCACCTGAGTAATTAAAATAGAATAGTATATTGTATTGGGAATACAATAGAATATTCGTTAGAATATAATGGATTAGAATGAAAAAGAGTGGAGAAGAATGAGGAATATGAATGAAGCATAATGGAGCAAAGTGAAGGAGATTGGAGCACAATGGAGAAGAATAAGTAAAAATAAATGGTGCTACTTCATACTTGAAGAAGTATTTAGAAGAATGGAGCAGATCATAGGAAAATGGAGGGATATGGAGAAAAATGGAGGAGAATTTAGCAGAATGGAGATGAATGGAATAGAATGGAGGACAATGAAGCAGGTGGAGCAGTATGGAGAAGAATGTAAAAGAATAGAGTAGATTGAAGGAAAATGGAGCAGAATAATGTTCAATAAATCAGAGTGGAGAATAATGGAAAAACAGAATGGAAAAGAATGGAGGGAAATGTATAAGAATAGATAAGATAGGAGGAAAATGGAGAAGAATGGAGCAGATTAGACAAAGATGGAGGAGAACGGAGGAGATTTGAATAGAATATTATGAAATGGAACAAAACAGATTAGAATAAAACACAGCACAATATAATATCTACATTGAATTTACATTATTATAAGTAGCTCACACCTATTAAAAGAGCCGTGGTAACTTAATGTAGCTAAGCGTTCGCCGCGTATTCTACAGTATAAGAGCAACCCGGGTTCGATCCCCACCAGCAAAAATTAAATATTTATTTGCAACTTTAACCGCTGAGCTCGTGGCAGCGCTGAAGGATAATGAGGAACCCTGCATGCCTGTGAAGCTAAATACTTCAAACACATGTGAAGTTCGAAAACACGCACTGGGGCAGCGCCGCAAAATAATTGATCCATAACCCTCTCAGAAATAATGGGAGGCCTGACCAAGGCAGTCGGGATATAATCGCTTCTTACTTTAATTTTACTTTACTCGTTAAAAACCTTTTTTATTAACTGTCTCGGATACTTTCGGAGCTAGAAAGATCTAGCAACAAATGAAACGGAAATTTGTTGTTGAATTTGTGTCTTGTATTATTTTTTTTATTATACTTGATGGTACAACTCCTTTTTTGTGTCGAAGTCCGTCTACCCTCTTGTTTATTTATGTCGCCAAAATGCTAATAACGTCTGATAAGCACTGCTATGTTTGCACCACTGTGTTCCGGTCATAAAAGTATTGACCTAAAGCTATTGGCATACCATATTAGTCCTCAGAGGTGACAACGCTTCTGTAGCCTTCTTTATAGATTTGTTTGTTGGATGCAGGTGTCCATAGACTGCAGTAACTATCCACCATCAGATGGACTCTTTTAGAAAGTCTCTGGAAGTTCTTTTGTCTCTTCAAATCAATAAAAAAAAAGACATATCTTTTTGGATTTGTACTTCTTTTTACGACAATGTACAAATATTTATACGAATCGTTAGAGACAATAAATAAACAAAAAGTTTAACCCGTTTGAACATCTCGTCGTGCTCTCTACGCCTGTGCTCTTCTTTCTGGCGTCTACCAGCCTCGGCCGCTTCCCGCATCGTCTTCTCTCGCACTGAAAGACAAACGGTTCCAGTTGAATCACACTTAATTTTTGATGTGTAACATCTTTCCTCTCGCTTTCCCCCCAAATCGGGGGGAGTAATTTCGTGAAAAGGAACGGCAGTGTGTAAAGCCGGCTATGTTGGCCGAGCGAAGGCGAGCACCATTGTATAGACAGCCCATTTGTCCAGCCTCGCCATTGCTCGTCAACGCTCGCCTAGCTGGCCGAGTGCAGGTGAACGCCAACGTGTATACGGTTCGTTTGGCGTGCCTTGCCGCCACTCGGGATCGCTCGTTACGACTCGTCCACTTCGGAACAGTGTCGGTTTTTCTGCACAAATCAAAGGCGCTCGCCTGCACTCGGCAAGTCGTGTCCACATGTTAGTCGCCCATGTCAGTTACAGCTTGGCGTTCGTCACGGTGAAATATTGATCTAATTAAGTTGCAACATTAAAATAATTTCGACAATTTCACTATACTAACGAGCACATCTTTAAGTTTTTTTTAACTTTACTGCGGAGTACACTGACATAATAAATAGCAAAAGCTGCAATAAATATTACATCGTCCATATCATACATGTAGACAGTTCCACAAAAACTCGGTGAACAATGGCCTTGAAATTGGTCTCTTTTGAACTTGACCAACATGTAGAGTGTAGACTGTAACACTCGCCTTATATCAATTTGCCTACGCTCGCGTTGGCTAAGGCTTGGCCAACATGTATTGCCGGTGTAACAGGAAGCCGGGAAAGTGCGCGCTATTTGATTTGACCAATGAGCGCACGCGATGGTAGTAAAGTGTGCTCTTATGCTAATAATATATAATATAACTAATTTATATGTCTAAACTATATTAGTAAATGTATTTACTCTTGATAGTAAGTATCTGAAAGAAGTGCAGATCATTGATAACAAATGAAAATGAGTAATAATGAGTAATTATTCGAATAAATATTTCAGTATTTAAGGGCATATACTACCTCAGCTCAAATTCTAATTTCGCCACCACTTCCCCGCGTCGTACGCTATGTACCGACATGTTTGTAATCACTAATACTGTAAGTACATAGGTTGTTAGATACTTATATCATTAGGTTTATCATATTTATGCCTGTTTTTTAACGCCAACCCAGTCGCTTCTTACTTTTATTACGATTATTTCCCATTTTAATTTTACGTCGTCCTGTTGCGTAATGTGATTCTGATCGTAAGCCATACAGCTTTCTCATGACGCCAATAGTTTAGGTAATTTATTTTTACAGAGAAAATAATGGTAATTAAATAAAATTAAAAACATAAGCCCTGCATTAATAGTTAGTTCAGTTAATATGCAAAGTTTCATGATCTAATTAAAAGTATTTTGTGAATACCAGCGGTTTATTGTTCGGTATGGATACTTTGGTATAAATTTACGGAATCGTGTAATATTTTCGGCACAACGGAGGATCTTATTAAACCATTTGAGGTAGTATAGGCCCTTAACTTTTATAAATTTTGAGACTAATTTCTGTCGCTGCTCAATTGATATTTTCAATTTTGGAAAAACATAGTTTTTTCAGGATATAATGTTACGAATGTTGCTTATTACCAAGATGAGGTGTCAGATGTTACACATTATATGCGGCTACTGTAAGACTCACTGGTTTCTTTTATGTAATCATGAAATTCTAACTCAAACTAGACGTATTTAAACGGCTTTACTCCAGTAACCTAGGCTCTGCTGGGGAATCGGACCTAAGGACCTCAAAACCTTAATATAATGCATCAATAATACTAGGAGTTTCACTCCTAGTAGTGAATGCCAACGGCATCTTCGTTCTTTAGAGACTCAAAAAAATGTAGTTAAATGCAAAGCAACACACGTACAATCGACGTAGAGGTAAGACTCCAACTGAAGTGTAAATCTTCATATACTCTTGTACCTTCTCATCTCCTATACATATCTTGCCCCCCCCCCCCGGGTTATCAGCTGGCGACGCTCTTGGTGTTTGTCCTCTTGTCTGCCTTAATCCAGGTGTTAACATATCGGCAGCTTTCTTTGTTTTAAGATGGCTGCAGAGGTCCATAGGCCGGAGTAGTCAATCACCATCAGATAATCTCGAAGTTCGTTTGACACTACATTTTATAAAAGTGTCAACGACCCGACCCAGCTTCGCAAGGGTGATTTATCGATCACGACAACAGCGCCACCTACCGGGTCCAAATGTAAATCTAAACCATCTAGGGACCTGATAGGTCCTTTAGGGGATTAGAACCTGTAAATACCAGCGTAAAACAGTAGTTTAATGCTGCTGTGTTTCGTATGGTGAGTGTAGAGAACCGGAGACCCTTTTTACTGGAAACGAGGCATTCCATCTTAGTCCTCACGGGTGACAACGCATCTGCATTTTGATTCGTAATCGAGGATAGATGTAGATGTCTATGGGCCAAAGCAACCACACACCATCAGGTGGACTGTGTGCTCGTTTGTCACTGTATCTTATAAAAAAAAACACTCACAACAATTGTCAAGCCGTTTTGAATTTTAGCAAGACAAACGGAGAGCAATTGCTTTTTATATATAGTATTACTCAAGTCTTTTTTTTATAGAATAACACCCTTATTCAAACAAACAATAAACGAGCACACAGTCCACCTGATGGTAAGTGGATGCTGTTGGCTCATAGATCTCTACATCTATCCTCAATTAAGAATCAAAACGTAGATGCGTTGTCATCCCTGAGGACTAAGATGGAATGCCGCGTTTCCAAGTAAAAACAAGTAACAACTTACAGGCAATAAGTTTGAAAGCGCGCTGCTAAGTAAAAACTTACAGGCAATATGTATGAAAGCGTGCTGCCAAGTAAAAACAAGTAAAAATTTACAGGCAATAAGTATGAAAGCGTGTTGCCAAGTAAAAACAAGTAAATATTTACAGGCAATAAGTATGAAAGAGTTATGCCAAGTAAAAACTTACAGGCAATAAGTATGAAAGCGTGCTGCAAAGTAAAAACTTACAGGCAATATGTATGAAAGCGTGCTGCAAAGTAAAAACTTACAGGCAATAAGTATGAAAGCGTGCTGCAAACTAAAAACTTACAGGAATATGTAGAAAGTGCTGCAAAGTACTTACAGGATTGTATGAAGGTCTCAATCTTACGGCAATTGTATGAAAGCGTGTGCAAGTAAATACTTACAGGCAATAAGTATGAAAGCGTGCTGCTTCCTCTCGTCTTTCAATCTTCGCAGTTCCTTCTCGAGGAAGTTCAGTGCCGCGGAGACGGCTCCACCGCACAGCTCGTCCACTAGCGCGTTGATTGCATCCTCCTGCCGTTACAGTTACCGTTTCAGCTGATCGAAAGTTCACTTCTAAACATGGGATTCCCCCGTAGATTGCTTCATAGGGGAGATATTAGCCACAGTTGCTACACTCGGCTGGCGAGCTGCCAACCGCTATTTTAAAGAGAAAACTCTACCTCTACGTATGTATGTGTCGGGCATAAAGAAAGACAATCACATAGGTACATCTATGGGATTTAGGTCGGCCACATACATACGGGATTCCGTTTCTAGATTCCGTTTCGGAATTCCGATTCAAATTTCCGAGCGCAGCAATATCTATATAAAATCAAGGACCCGTCACACACCTACGGTAGTTTTCCGTTCGAAATTTTGTGGGCAAAACGGGATTCCGTATGTGTGTGGCCGACTAAGATGGAATGGCTCGTTTCCAGTAAAAAAGGATCCCCGTATCCCTGCACTCATCATACGAAACACAGCAGTATTAAGCTGTTATTTTATGCTGGTATTCTGTGAGAGCGTGGTCCTTCCCCGGTCAAGCCGACCCATTGGTGCTACAACCATTATATTGTCTCTACCATGTATAAATAATAGCTTAGGGTCCCGTTGGGTACCCTTTGGGTATGTAGCCCTAAAAAGGTTTAAAGTATTTGGATCATTACTTTTTGTTCGGCTTCCGTGCGCACAGCGTTGTGCTCTCTGGCCTTCGCCTCTTCCTTGGCGATACGTATCTTATCTTCCATCTGCAAACCATGAGTTGATTTCAACTCTTCTGTCAGCTCAGCGGTACGCGTTCGTCCTTCGAACATCTATTGGATTGTAAAAATTATAAATAGGGATAGTGATCGTTGAAATAATGCTTACGAGAAAATGTAACGATGATACTTACGTATATCATCAAAAGGGTTTACAATGTTTGTTACGCTCGACGAGCGGGTTGACATTTGACTGTTATTTTTATTCAGCTGTTAACAGGAAGGTGTTTCTGCCTAGTATCTCCTGGATCAGTTTCCCTTTCTCGCCTCTTACGACACCCATGGGATGATATCATTCCTATGGATTACACCGCATTACACGGTTAGTCATCATCATCATCACCATTACAGCCCTTCACACGTCCACTGCCGAACATAGGCCTCCCCCAAGGAAAGTCACAAAGCATTGTCCTGAGCAACCTGCATCCATCGACTTCCTGCATGGTTTACCAGGTCGTTACTCCATCTAGTGGGGGGTCGCACTACACTACGCCTACCGGTACGAGGCTGCCACTCGAGAACCTTTTTCCCCAACGGTTGTCGGTTATTCTATGGCCGGCCCAATGGCACTTCAGCTTATTAATCCGTTGGGCTATGTCGGTTGATAATTAACCATCATGTAACATAATTATTATGTGTAGTGTAGTGTAGTTTTTCGAATGATATTACGATACTTAAAAGCACCCTCACAGACTAGATAAGATTTTATATAGCATTTGCATAGCTTTTATCGCGGGCTTTGAGCGCGGCGATCGAATTAAGAAATTCCGTAACGAAAATAACCTAAGACCCCAAAACCTAACATCGTCTAACGTCGTTTAAGTTCGGCAGACTTCGGCACGGTGTTTGTGTGCGTGCGACTAGACGTATGCGTGTAGACTAGTTGCATGTATTGTAAGATAATAAAAATATTTTAAACAATAATATAGTTTATTCTTCTTCTTCTTCTTCTACCTAGCGTTTATCCCGGTTGATCATCCCGCCCAGCGGGGACGAACCCAGGGTCCGCTTTCCTACACTTCCTCCTCCACTTTGCCCGGTCTTCGGCGTCCCTCGCAACTAGCCCATTGGCGCGCATGTCATCCTGCACGACATCAAGCCAGTGTTTCTTGGGCCGTCCTTTACTCCTGGTACCAGGTAGGGTCATGTCCAGGCATTTGTTTCCCACGTAGCTTGCCAGTCGTCATAAGATGTGGCCGTATTAGCGGAGGCGACTTTCCTGGAGCTTGTCAGCAATGTCACGGACATGGAGGCTGCCGCGGATGTATGTATTCCGTACATGGTCTTTCCGCGTGACACCACACATTCACCGCAGCATGTTCATCTCCGTGACATGCAACAACTGCCGGTGTCGCTCTAGCACCGGCCACGCTTCACTGCCGTACTTAAGGACAGGCCTTATGATGGTCTTATAGACTTGTCCCTTCAGCTTGACCGGCATTTTGGGGTCACAAATGACACCCGTCACCTCGCGCCATTTCGCACAGCCGCTGATATACGGGCCTTAATGTCGCGATCGATGTCCCCAGACGCATCAAGCACAGATCCGAGGTACCTGAAGTTGTCCGTGCATTCGACGGTGTCGTCGCCTATACGGAGAGACGTCAGATCTGTGCTGTTGCAGGCCATATACTCTGTCTTCGCCACATTTAGCTTCAGCCCGCCGTTCTCAAGCGCCTCCCTCCATGCGTGCACGCGTCTGGTGAGCCGTCCTTTGTCCCCATCTACCAGTGCGATATCATCAGCGTACATAAGCAACCAGGGCTGCGGTAGTTTCTGTACGCTGGCTGACAGTTCGTTTAATATCACACTGAAGAGATAGGGGCTTAAGACGGAGCCCTGATGCACGCCTACGGTTATGGGGAAGGGGGTGGTATCACCGACAGCGGTCCTGACTATTGAATCGGAGTTGCGGTACATATCACGTACGATTTCTACGTAGGTCTCTGGTACCAACTTCGACCGTAACGCCCACCAGATCATCTCCCTAGGAATACAGTCAAAGGCCTTCTTCAGGTCTAGGAATAAAAAATGCAGAGGCATATTCTTTTCCCTACGCTTCTCCGTGAGGATCCTTAGGGCGAATATAGGATCCATGGTACCGCGTCCTGGTTGGAAACCGTACTGGGAGTCCGATACTGTACACTCCTGTCGGATCCTGGTGTCAATAATGCGCTCGAAAAGCTTCATGGTGTATGACGTCACCTTTATACCGCGGTAATTACCGCAATCCTGAACGGACCCTTTACCCTTATGGACCGGCGTTATTATACTAAGCCGCCACTGATCGGGCATTATTCGGTCGCCGAGGATTCTATTATAAAGGTTAGTAAGGATGCACACACCACGAGCCCCCAGCGCTTTCCACGCTTCAATTGGCACCTCGTCCGGTTCGACAGCTTTCCGATTCTCCATGTGACGAAGAGATGCGAGGACCTCGTCAGGCGTAATCGGTGACACGAGTCCATGGTTCGGGAGTTGTTCGGGAGGGTGCACTTCCCGGTGCTGAGTATTCAGCAAAACGTGGAATAAGAGCACCATCTCTCCTTCACCGCACGATCATCGTACAGGAGCTCGCCATTAGGGCCGTTGACGCTGCAGCAGCGAGTAATATCTTGCGCTGCTTTGGCCCTAGAGCGCGCCAGTTTATATATGAGCTTGTGGCCCTCAGGAGCGTCCAACTTAGCATATAATGGTTGCAAACGCCTGGCTCTGGCTACAGCTTTCTTGGCAGTTCTTTTCGCTGTCTTGTAAGATGCGCGATCTTCAGGAGATTTGGTCGCTTGTCACGTCTTGAAGAGCGCTTTCTTCTCCCGTAATGAACCCTGGACTGTGGCGTCGCACCACCAGGTCTCCTTGTCAATTTTGCGACCCCCTTTCGCCACGCCGAGGACTTGCTTTGCCGTCTTTGTGATTGCTGTCTGAATGGTTTTCCAGCACTCTTGGACGGACTTGCCTGCTGTGTCGAGACTAATATCCTCAGCGGCAGAGTCAAACTCTGAGTATCTGGTTTGATCCAGCAGCCACCACTTGATTTGACGGCGGCAATGTTCGGCGTGTCTGCGACGGGGTTTTACGCAGAGGTCAGAGGTGATAAGAAGTCGGTGTTGGGCAGTGAGACACTCACCGGGTATGACCTTACAGTTGGCCACGCGACTGATATGACTTCTCCTGGTCAGTAGATAGTCGATTTGAGTGGCGTTCCGACCGCTCCTGTAGGTAATCAGGTGCTCGGTTTTCTTTTTGAAGAACGTGTTCACGACGGCCAGATCAGCTGCAGTGCAGGTTCTGAGAATGGTTTCCCCCTCTGCGTTTCTTCGGCCGTAACCATAGCCGCCGTGGACACGTTCATACTCCCCCTGCACCTCGCCCACATGACCGTTCAGGTCGCCACCCAACACGACATCGTGGGACAACGGCATACCGCGTAGTACATCTCCGAGCCGATCCCAAAACAGCGTCTTATCCGTGTCGCGGCAGCCGACCTGTGTAGCGTAGGCACTTATTAAGTGGGTCACGACCCCCTCAACAAGCAACCTTACTTCCATAAGTCAGTCGCATATGCGTCTAACTTCCAAGACGCTATCGTGGAAATGCTCGGCGAGCACCACTGCCACACCGTTCTCCCCACCAGAAGAGCCTGTATAGATCAGCTTGTAGCCGTGCCCAATATTCCGGCTCCTGTTGGCCTTCCACCGTGTCTCCTGCAGAAACGCCACTGCCACTTTACGTCTGGCAAGTATGGCCGTAAGTTCTGTGGAGCGTCTGTAAGCGTGCCAATGTTCCAGTTTGCAAAACGAATCTTCGTAGTTGGTGCTAACATCTTTAGCCGGGCTCGCACGGGGCCCGGTAGCCCTCGCATACTTGTCGCAGGGTTAAGGCGATCCCCTTGCGAGTCGTTATGCGGCGACGCCCTAGTCCTAAACGTATATCTCTTTCTTTTACATTCCATTTTTGAGGGGCTTGGTGCCAATTACCGGGGCGACTGCCGTCCGACCCCCGAACCCCTAGGACGAATCCCAGAGAAGTGGCATCGCCAGAGCCCTTTCCGTTGTTCAGCAGGTGCGCCACGTGCAGGCGGGGTTGGCTTGGGCTCCAAGATCTTAGCGGAGCCCCTTACACCCAAAGCCAAAACCCAAACAATAATATAGTTTATTGCAAGAAGCATATTCTTTCGATTTATATGAGTCGGCATCATGCTTGCAACTTTCGTGAATTTAGAGTATTTAATAAACACAGACTTTATACTTAAATATATTTTTTTAATTTATATATTATTTTTGATGGCACGTTTGGCGCAGAAGCTGAACCACCCGAATGCAGCGTCGCGGATCATGGGTTCGATTCCCGCATGGAGCAAACATTTTTGCTAACAAAGAAAACAAAATATTGCATAAATAAAATAAATAAATAATTATAATTCCATAAGTTGATAAAAATACTATGCAACAGCTTTACCGCGGCAGTCTCCGAGTGCCACACGTATTTTTTTAGTTATCGTACAATTTTAAGCAATATAAATATAATATATCTAAAACCTCTAAACTAACTAAGTTTTCACCAATATAAACATAAGTTAACCCAAATTAAACGTGGTAATTCACCAAGGACGGTGTTAACTATCAGATTTACAAAACCGGCAGTCGTTGGGCTAGGAATGGTTTACAATGACCTATCTAGTAACTGTTAACACTATGTAGGTTACCTCTTCGTCGTGTAATGAATCTAAGTCAACAAGGATGGTAATAATAGATTAATTTTTTTAAATAATATAGAGAAGATTATATGTAATTCTTATTGAAACTCATTTTTTACTTTACCACTGGTTCGGAAAATGAAAACCTCTGTCCTGGGAAGAACCAGCAAGAAAGCTAGCGGTACTAAATCTTACGATATATACGAGTACGCTTACAAACCTTGGATCAATATTATTGATCGAAGTTACAAACTATTTACAAAAATTATTTTATAAACAGCTCGAAAGCGACTAACAAGGATTCTATTATTGCCTTTTTATTTGAAGTTGAGGGTATCCATGAGTTGCAGTACCTAACTATTTAACGTCAGGATGACAAACGAGTTAACTACTAGCTAAACTAGCTAGTTATAAACTCGGCAGCCTCTAAAGGTGGGGTAATACGGGCAACTAAAATTGCTCAATTCCAGTCAATACTCGTCAACTATGACGTCACGACTACTTCAAGCAATTTACGGCAACGGCAACAAGCATCAATACTGCGCAATACAATATTGAGCGATATGGCGCAACTTCATCAACTAGGCAATACTGTCTACACGAGCATTTCAGTATTCGCTTGCTATGGACGACATTGTTCTTGCTGCGGCGGCTTGTAGCGCTTTTAAAAAAAAAAAAAGAAAAGAATTACTGGGGCTTGGCATTTTTTTTAATTCAAAAACTTTACTAGAATGTCACGAACAGACCCGACCTCTCGCTCTCCCCGCGGAAGCAAGACGGCAATCCGCAAAACAAACAAGTGCGAATGAGATATATACAAAAATTGCTAGGAATTTCCAAGCCCATTGGATATTCGTCAATTCGTATCTGCGACATTGAGCGATATGAAATAACTGGAGCAATTAGAAGCAATATCGCCGAAATAATTGCCGCAATTTGCTCCATTGCTTTGAAATTTCTCCATTAATTGCTCCAGATCGGTCCATTCGTGTCGTCGAGCAATTATTGCCCTCGTGTAAGCGCACCTTAACGTAGTTCCAATAATTGATCATAATTAACTTGAATAATTTCTCATTGTATTGCATTGATTGGATGTTATTTCTACTCCAAATTAATCCAAAATTATGTTGCATACTCAATCCATAAACGTTATGTACACTTGTTAATGATATGCATATCAGTGAGTATAAAATATTTGTCTTGAAGTTATCCGATTCTTCTATCATTCTTGTACGTTCTTTCTTGCTTTTTCCTTTGAATTAATTCTTTTACTCTCTTATTTACACGTTTAAACTCTACCTTTTTTCTTTCAATCTCATCATTCATACCGCCAGAATTACCAGCTTTGGTTGCTAGTAAATCTAGCCATGCTCTCTTCTTTGCTTCAACTTCCATACGTATTAGTCCCTACTGTAACCTATGGTAGTGAAAGTTGGGTGTGGCAGAAGAAGCACGAGAGTAGAATAAATGCAGTAGAAATGCGGTCGCTAAGTAGTATGTTAGGGCTGAATCTGAGTGACAGGGTGAGAAACTGTGTGATAAAAGAAGAGTGTGGTTTGCAAGATGATGCGGTGACCAGGATTAAGAAAGGAATGCATCAGCGGTTTGGTCATGTAGAAAGAATGAATTATGAAAGACTGACAAAGCAAATATACGGCACCGCGGCGCAGTGGCTTAGCAATGATTTACAGCGCTGGGGGTCGCGGGTTCGAATCCCGCACGGAACAAGTATTTGTACGGCCTACAATGTATGTGGTTACGGGTGTGCCTGTGTATGTATTAGAAAAAGACAGTGAGTGAGTATGCGTTTATAGGATAAATTCTAATAAAGCCACTGCATTATTTTTTTCTTACAGTGGTATGTCTTTAACATAAATATTTGAAATATTTTATTAATCTGGTTGTATAAGTGTTCTGATTGTTTGTCATATTGATGTATCGCAGAGTTGGTTTTCGTACTGCATATAGGAACTACGCTATAATTTCTTCTTCTACTACCGTAAGTAGGATTAAAATACAAAGACTTATGTTTTTTTAACAAAGTATGTACTTAATATGTACTTACAACTGCCTCACCGAAATCAGTCCAAAAGATGAATACAAAAAGCTAGTGGAATGGAATGGAACTCACCAAATTCTGTACAGCACGACCTCTTATAACTTTCTGGAGAAGGAGCGCCGCCTGGTGGTTGGTCTCGAGTTCGTCATCCACGGCCTCGACTTCTGGAGTTGGTGGCCGCGGGGTTTCGGCTAGCCGACGCGGCTTCAATACTCGAAGCGGCCCCGCCGACGTGGCTGAGGCACCTAGACGAGCTTCTAAGAAGACACCATAAAAAACCGTATTTAATGTCGAAGTTTTAGGTGGTAGAAACTGATCAATTAATACACACTGTGTATAGAAAAAAGACCCATACCAACCGATATTTAAATGGTGAATCTCACCATCATCCTTCACAGTTAGCTACCGTGGGTAAATCTTTGTTTCAGAGAGCACGAGGGATCTGTGACAGAAAACATCTGGCCGCCGAACTTCAGCACGTCAAGCAAGTATTGCAAGACAACAAGCTTCGGGTCCCGCGCCTACGTCACAGTGACCGAGTGAAGCCGGCCACAGTCGAGCGTGTACCTGCTGTACTACCATATGTCAGAGGAGTCACAGACAAGGTTGGCTACATCTTGAAGCGAGCTTCTATTAAAACATACTACAAGCCGCCGAAGAAGATTAGTCAATTTTTACCATCCGTCAAGTGTAATATCCCTCTACAAGATGCAGGAGTGTACAAGTTAGATTGTGAATGTGGTCTCTCTTACATAGGTCAAACAAAAAGATCCATAAAAACCCGCGTGAAAGAACATATAGCTGACGTGAAGCACCGACGCTCCGGGAAGTCTGCAGTCTGCGAACATGTTCAAGATCGTCCCCACCATTACATTCGTTTTGATAAACCACAAATTCTCGCAAAAGAACACCGATTCCTACCAAGGATGATACGCGAGGCTATTGAAATTAAAAAAACATCCAAATTTCAATAGAGAAGATGGATGGGTGCTGCCACCTGCTTGGGATCCTATAATTAATAAAATTAAACTCAAACCTAAACATACCACTGCAAGACTTCATGATACTATAAGCTCGTTTTGCGTAAATCGGACCAAAAATTAATATTCAAAAACTGAAGGTAGCCGAACTAACTATGACATTGGGACGTCAAACATCTCTGTCCCCCCCCCCCCCGTGACCATGGTTGCTGTAAAGCATCCGAAACGTCGGGAATTAAAAATAAGTAAAAGTAGTGAAATAAACGCGATAATATCCGTAAATTTAGTTTTATTCAATTAATACATTTATTTACTTGATAGAAAAAAGAAAGATCATCTTTATTTATTTCACAATAACTTTTACAGAAAAGAAAAAAGTTCATAAAAATAAAACTCCAAGAAACTTAATAACAAAACTCTGAATTGCAGCAACAAAAAATTGCAGTGTTACCGCAGTTATAAGTATTATACGTGTGCACAAAAATAGTTAATTATTCTATGCATGATCATGTAATCTGTGATACTAAGAGACACTGCACATTGCAGACTTCCTAGCGGGCGAGAGTTTAGTCGGGTTGGCCTGCTAGCACGCACATTCGGCCAATTAAACAATCGGGTTGGTTGAGTTGCTGGGTCGATATATTATGTAATTTAACTATCAAGAAATACCACTAATATGAAATAAACTTTCGGTAGTAAAAAAATAAAAACAAACATTTCCAATTATTAGTGATTATTGATAGATCAATTTCATAACATGTTAGTGTAAAATAAAAATAAAAAATACGTGTGGCACTCGGTGACTGCCGCGGTAAAGCTATTGCATAGCATTTTTTATCAACTTATGCAATTATAATTATTTATTTATTTTATTTATGCAGTTAAGTCTTTGATATTAAATCAAGTTACACTTTTTGAGCGTGGTGACCGATAAGAAAACAATTTTTTTCTCTTATTGAATAAATGAGAAGTTCATATTGTTTAAAATATTTTTAATATATTACAATACATGTAGGTTATTCAGGAATTTTTATCATTGAGTTAGCAGCTAGTGTACATGCATACGTCTAGTCGCACGAACACAAACACCGTGCCGAAGTCCGCCGAGTGCCAAAGTCTGCCGAACTGAAACGACGTTAGACGATGCACGGCTTTCAACGCCACACCTCCGTGCCCGTGGGAGTGGGGAGCGTGAGGTTTTTTTTCGTTACGGAATTTCTGGATTCGGTCCCCGCGCTCAAGGCCCGCGATAGAAACTATGCAATAGCTTAAAATTGTAAAATATTAGTGCCCATAGGCATTCCGTTCACCTGTTATTTTTAGCACACTGTAAAAAAAATCACCCAGTATATTCTAATTTAAAAAGCGGTCTAGGTGCGACCCGAAAGGTCCACACGAATAACTTCCCAGTGGAAGGAATAAAAAAATATTATCAATAAAAAAATATTATATACAACTTTTAATCCAGACAAAAAACGACTTGACCGGTTTTGCTCAAAATTTAATGAGGTCTAAGTTACATAATTATGCGTTAAATGAAACTGGTCCCATGTCAATATCACTCTTTGTTTCGCGAGATACACGAGTCGAAAAATTAATTCGAACATACATACATATACGGACATCCTCTTAAAACCATACTATTCTACTCTAAAGGAGTACCCTTAACTGACGAGCATGTATGTAACTTAAATGCGTAGCTATATGGATGTGAAGGAGGCGAGAGAGGTCTGTCAGGATCGTGCCAAATGGAAGTCTGTAGTCTCTCCCTAACCCTCTGGGTGACAGGCGTGAGTGTTTATGTATGTATATGTATCTACTCTAAAGACCTTGAAACGTGGAGATATGTTAAAATTTCCAATTTGCAAAATCGGACCCATTACAATAACTTCCCACTGGGAAGTTAATAAAAACAAATCAATTATAACACCTTATTAATAAACAAGACCTAGAACTTAACTTTGTATATGTACAGAAGTAAGAAAAATAAAATAGTTTACTTTATATCTTGACTGTTTTAAGAACCCACCTACCTTCTGAACCAACCTAACGGTACAGTGGAAAGGATATTAAATCATAAAATTCCTATAAAAATTCCCTAAAATGCATTTTATAGAAATTTTATGATTTAATATCCTTTCCACTGTGTTATTATTGGGGGTGAAAGTTATTTTTAAAATTTATTCAGAATCATAACTGAATTATAACCTATAATAATAGAAAAATTATCAAAATTGGATTAGCCGTTTCGGAGAATTCGGTAAACATATAATATCAAAACGCGTCTTCGTCAAATATAGTAACTTTTTGTGTATTAGAACTCGGTTAATACAAAAGCTAGTTACATACGAGAGACCAGTGAAAAGTATTGGTAAAGACGAAAAAATGAGAGAGAAATTAAATGGACAGATAATAAATATATTTGGTAAAATTTACTCAAAGCATAGCTTTTTAGTCTACTTACTTTTTAAATCGTTGTGCAAATTCTCCAAAAACTGCTCGCTCCACTTGGTTTCGCGTTCGCAAAGTTGCGTGGTGTTGGGTGGGAGGTGGTGTCCGGAACAGGTGCGTTTTAAGTCCTGGCCGCAACGTTCCAGCCACTCCGGGGGCTCGGCAGCTTTAATATGGTCTTCTAGAACTTAACGTTGAGAAAATAGATTACGATAGAGTATTTTACAGTTGGTTCAAAACTATGCTTTATGGTATTGTTTAGGGGAGGCCTTTGTTCAGCAGTAGATTTCTGAAGGGCTATGCTGTTAATGATGATGAATAGATTATAAATGTTTCCTATTACATCTTTTTTTTTTTTGGATTTGATTACACTAAAAAGAAGCCAGCGGAAAAAATATATCAAAACACAGATTTTAGAATTACTTACAAAACTCAGGCTTTCAGGCCGATTAGAGGATATTTTCAACCACGTATTCATTATATTATAAATAGCTTTTGTACGTGGCTTCTTCCGCGATTTCGACACGATATAATTTTGAAAATTCACAGCCAATGTGTTATTCTAAGACCTAAGAAAGCGTAAAGATACAGTGAGTCTACGAGTATCCCACACGAATTGTGCGTATTTCCGGGATAAAAATTTAACCTATATCACTGCTAGCCCATAACAAAAAAAATCTTGTCAATCTGTTCCCTCGTTGCTGTTGTGAATGAAAGGCAGACAAACTAGCACACCTTCGCATTTATAACATTAAGTGGAGATAACCATTTTTATACGTTTTTGTTTAATTAAAAAAAAATGCTTATTAAATAATAGAAAGAGAGAGATGGTTCGGAGATGTCGTAAGAGTAACAGAGATATGAAATGTAACAGAAGTGATGAGCACCAGCATCTTCCTGATAACAACCCAAAATAATAAAAAACTGCATTTGCCAACCCGCTTGCCAAGCGGTGAAACTATAAGTGAACGATGACTTGCATACTCGGCATTACTGCGCCTGTTTTGCTAACCCTCCAAAATTGGAACACATCATTGCACTGTCTGGTGCTTAGCGACAGAAGTAGTTAACGAGGATTGTTCCTATCATGATGAACTCCATGTGTCCAGGATGTCCAGGAGTCCGTCAGAAAGTTTTGTACGTGGTAGAGTCATGTTGCAGTTATATAGCATGTAGTAGTATGTAAGAACCACGCTCTCACAGGATATCAGCGTCAAATAGCAGCTTAATGCTGCTGTGTTTCGTATGGTGAGTGTAGAGAACCGGAGACCCTTTTTACTGGAAACAAGGCATTCCATATTAGTCCTCACGATGACAGCGCATCTGCATTTTGATTCGTAATCGGGGATGGAGGTAGATGTCTATGGGCCACAGCAACCACTTACCATCAGGTGGACTGTGTGCTCGTTTGTCATCCTATCCTATAAAAAAGTGGCCAGTCGTGGATACCGTTCGCTGCCAGGAAACGGAACGGTCATGCCGGACTCCCACCGGCTAAAACCTTACGCGTTAACTATCAATGAAAACGATCCACGATGAATTTACTCACCCAACAATGAAGGATCGTAAGTAATCACTGCGTGTCTCCTGCGCGCCTGGTACCCATTCCTAGCCAGCGGGGCGTGGAGGTGTGAAGCGGGGTCGCAAGCGGCGACTGTTGGCGATCCACCGCCACGGCAGGCTCTCATCTCCTGGACCAGACTAGCCCGGCCTCCTCTGTTGTGCTGTGCGGATAATTTCCGCAATTCTGTAGGGTCATATCATTAACTAGCAAGTGGCCTCGCACGAAGGTAATTTACAAGTCTGTCAACAATATTTTTTTAACGCCGTGATAGCTTAGGGGCTAAGTTAAGACTCGCTGTAAATTTCACAGTACGCGAGTAACCCGGATTCGATTCCCGCTGGCACCAATAAAATTATTAGTAAAAGTTGTTAAATATCAATTTTCTTAGATCTCTCGCCCTCTCTCAATTGAGTGCACTATCATCGTCACCACTAATTCCAGCATCACTACTACTAACACCGCTACACTAGGAAAGCCGTATACGTGGTAGAGCCACGTTGCAGTTATATTATGGTTGTAGGCCGAATGGGTCGGGTCGACCGAGGTAGGACCGCGCTCTCACAGAATACCAGTGTAAAATAGCAGCTTAATACTGCTGTGTTTCGTATGGTGAGTGTAGAGATCCGGAGACCCTTTTTTACTGGAAACGAGCCATTCTATTCAACAGCGCATCTGCGTTTTGATTCTTAATCGAAGATGAATGTAAATGTATATGGGCCACAGAATCCACTTACCATCAGGTGGACTGAGTGATCGTTTTTACCCTTATTCTATAAAAAAGACACACCGCCGTCGATAATGGACTGACAAAATGGCTGCCCACTGACGTGACTATTATCGACGGTCGTGTGTCTGTTAAATATCGGGAGTAGTGGTGCTGGGACTAGTGGTGACGGAGTTAGTGCAAGCAATTGAAGGAGGGCGGGAGGTGCTCCTCAAACTAGGTCAAACACATCATTTTATTTCGTTACACGGATCTTAGATAATTAATTTTTAATAATGGATTTCTGCAAAGTAACAGCTGATCCTATTAATTAAAAGTATTAGTTGCGGTTTACGTGTTGATTTACCATGTACTCGACGATAAAGGAATCGTGAGGGAAGCTACATCTCTAAGATATTTAAAAAAAATCGGAAGATATGTGAAGTACGGCAACACGTATTGGGTCAGCGCGGTAGACATTTCCTTGCCTAGAAACCATTTCAGAAATTAAAGGAGGCCTGTAGCCAGCATTGGAGCGTATATGTAACTTTAAAACATTTTTTTTACATCTTGAGCGATCTCAAAACACCAAAATTTCTTTCATTATTATCATCATTACAGCCCTTCACAAGTCCACTGCTGAACATAGGCCTCCCCATAGAAATGCCGCAACGCGCGGTTCTGAACCATCTGCATCCATCGACTTCCTGCATGTCTTACCAGGTCGTCACTCCATCTAGTGGGGGGACACCATACACCTACACCTACCGGTACGAGGCTGCCACTCGAGAACATATCGGCTGTCGGTTCTTTACTTAGGTAAAATACGAGTGTGAATATAGATCACCGTTTAATGAGGGTGTAATAAAAATCCACTTTCGCATACTATCCCGTGCTTGCGGCTATTATATAGCTAGCTTAGCTGCAACGTGGCTCTACCACGATGGAGACGGTCCAATGGTAAGATGGAAAAGAGGTCCCATGTTTATGTGGGACTAATAACAAAAAAAGAACATGCCTATGCTTGCCTAGTATGTCATAAAAAGAGACCAATGTAAAAAATAGTGGATTTGTGATTGCGTAGGCATAAGTTAAACTATCACTTCTTTCACAATTCCTTTATTTTAACCCACATTTTTTTGACTAAACGTGTTCAGAGTAGCTCGCCGCTCAGGATTACACGTACTGTTGAGCACCATAATTAATGCCTAGTACGTGGAGTCATTAGTTGTTACCACTAGCGCCCTTTAGTATCGAGTAGCAGAACTAGGAGAGTCGATATCCTTCTAGAGATTTCCATGCCGGAACTTTCTACGCCTAGTCAGTCGGTACCGGTATGTACTTGAACATTCTAGATGTTTTAGTAGAAGAGGCCCTATATAAGGCCGGTGTAGACCGCGATCCAAGGCAGTATTGAATTGGCGATACAAGTGAATACTTCGAAGCCATATAACTGCGAACTAAAGTGATCAGTAGAACAATTGTGTTATTATTAGTGTGTTTTAAGATGTAATTGGTGATCGGTAATTAGTGTCAATTTTGGTAATTCCTTCACCGCCGAGCACGTGGTAAATCAGCACTTAAAATTGCAATTAACAATTTCATTGGTGCCGGCGGGGAACAAACCCGAGTTATTCGCGTTCTGTTATATTTACAGCGAGCGTTAACCACTGAGCTACCACGGCTCTCGAGTAACCCGGGTTCGATCCCCGCCGGCACCAATGAATTTGTTAATTGCAATTTTAAGTGCTGATTTACCACGTGCTCGGCGGTGAAGGAAAACATCGTGAGGAAACCTGCATGTCTGAGGAATAAGAAAAAAAAATATTTCGAAGACATGTGAAGATCGTCAACACGCATTTGGGCAGCGCGGCGGACACTTCCTTGCCCTAAAACCCTCTCAGAAATGAGGGGAGGCCTGAGCCCAGCAGTGGGACGTATATAGGCTGTAACTTTACTTACTTTACTTTTGGTAATTCAATCGGCAGTTTTTATTTTCACGAACTTCAAATTCGTAACAGTACGATTAGGAAAATAATCGATCATCAACATCACTGGTTCCCGTAGATGTCAGAATAACCATTATTTAGGCCAAACGTAAAATCTCGTATTCAGCCCAGTGTGGCGATTAAAACAAACCCTTCCAACGAGAGAGGCACGACCACCTGACTTTATTAGCTGATTTAAAAAAGTGCCGAGTTTTTTTATTGAATAAGGGCGGCAAACGAGCACACAGTCCACCTGATGGTGAGTGGATGCTGTGGCCCATGGATATCTACATTTATCCACGATTAAGAATCAAAACGCAGGTGCGTTGTCACCCATGAGGACTAAGATGGAATGCCTCATTTCTAGTAAAAAAGGGACTCCGGATCTCTACACTCACCATATGAAACACAGTATTCTTCTCATGTTTCACGCTGGTATGCTGTGAGAGCGTGTTCCTACCCCGGTCGAGGCGACCCATTCGTGCTACAGCCATAATATAGCTGCAGCGTGGCTCTAACACGTACATAACGTAACGGCCTGGCCACACTATGCTCCTCGCGCTGCGCGTTGCTCTGCTTCTCGCGCTGCCGCGATGTGTCTGTCCAAAGACTGCTCTACTCGCGCAGTTAATCGCAACTCTCCGCACTAGGTCGCCCCCGTTCGCAACACAATGGATGTTGAAACTGTTGCAGCGTACGAGCAATGCATATTTATTATAACTAATGTCATTAAAAGAAATACACATTGTCGTCGTCTAGATTATTTTTCTTGCTTTTTCTTTGTATATTATTTACTAATGTGATAATATGGATGAATGATGGTGATAGGTACACTATTTATGATTTTTAAATGACACATGACGTGCTTTCATAAAACGCGCTCGATTCGGACTGCGTTTGCACGAGTGTGTGGCCAGCCCCACGCGCTCATATTGCCAGTACCTTGACTCGCGTCCAAAAAGCCGACAAAACAGAGAGCGATGGGCGTGACGAGAAGCTTGACGAGTGGCATGACGAACGTCTGCATTTTGTTTCTTAGCTTCTTAACTTAACTGCTTCGTTGGTCTAGTGGTTGTAGTATTGCGACTGCTGATCATGAGGTCCTGGGTTCGAATCCTGGGTCGGGCCAAAAATATTTACTGAGTTCTTCATTCAAGAAATTCTCAGTAGTTGACCGGAGTCAGGAAGTTGGCGGTGTCTCACCCCAACTATATAACTATACTCCAACGGTAAGCTAATAGAAACTACATATTATTTTACAGAAATAAGGCCCGCCACACACTACATACGGAATTTCGAAACGGAACTATCGGATCGGCCACACACATATGGAGTCACGTTTTACCTGCAAAATTTCGAACGAAAAACTACCGCAGGTGTCATTGATTTTATAAGGACCAGCTACGTTTGGAATCCCGAATCGGAATTCCGAAACAGAATCCCGAAACGAAATTCCATATGTATGTGGCGGGCCTAAAGGTGACAAACGGGCACACAGTTAACCTATCTATTTTGATAATACTACAGTAAACCCTCGTTAATGCGAACACGGTTAACACGAATTTTGGTTTAAGGCGAACAAAAATTTGCTCTAGACAATAGTTCCATAAGCTTTAATGTAATTATGTTCGGTTAAGACGAACAGTCGTTAATCCGAACTTCGAACAACTTTTTCGTCCCTTCACGGTTAATTATCGGATAATACGAACTATAAAAATTCCCAAATCATGTATTTTGTGTATTTTTGTCCTTTTTCGGTCAATACAAATACCGGAAAACGATGGCTGAAGAGTTTAGAAAAGCCAGTAACTCGAGTTTCTAAAATTAGACAAAGGTAAGGATATCAAACATTCACGCGAGTACCTAAAAATAGAAACAATACCTCAAATTTTTAAAATAATAATAATGTTAAGTTGAAATTTTATAATAAAAAAATAATGTAAATATAAAATAATAATGTCAAAGTTATTAATAAAAATGTTACTATGATGAATCATAATATTGAGTTTAGAAACACGAATTCATCTTTTGCATTGTTCGGATTACACGAACTCCCCCTGTAACACAAACTATCTGTCTGATTTTTTCGTGTTCGTGTTAACGAGGGTTTACGTAATACTAATATCTAACTGCCTCGTTGGTCTAGTGGTTGTAGTAGTGCGACTGCTGATCATGAGGTCCTGGGTTCGAATCCCGGGTCGGGCCAAAAAAATCAATTCAAAAAAAAAGTAAAGAAATTCTCAGTAGCTGCCCAGAGTCAGGAAGTAGGCGGTGTCTCACCCCCGCGCCTCGGAAAGCACGTAAAGCCGTTGGTCCTGCGCTTGGTCTCCCTCCGGTCGTGTCGGTTTACCGTCCCATCGGATTATGAGAGTGAGGCAATAGAGAGTGCACCTGTGCTTGCGCATACACTTGGGCACTATAATCCTGTCCTGTGCCGATGGCTAGTCTCCGTTGAGGCAGGCCGCCGTGGCCGAAATTCGATCTGGAGGACATTATTATTATTTTGATTCTTAATGATAATGATGTAGGTGTCTATGGGCCGCATCATCCACTTCCCACAAGGTGGACTGTGTGCTCGATTGCCTTATTCAATAAAAAAAAATATTGAAATTGAATCGTGACTCATACCTCTGTCCCTAGCACGACGTATATTCTCAATTTTCCTCTCCATCTCCTGTTTCTTGTTAGCCCAGAGCTTGGCGAGCTTCGAGCTTACACGACCCGTCCTTTGCTGCCAGTTCTCGGATTGAAGACGATGAAGCAGCATAAGGCGTATGTCTTGGAGCTCATCTATTTCCTATCATCAGTTCAATCATATTAGATACACCAGAACTTCATCTCGCGAATTAATAATTTATTTTTACGTGGTAGTAATCAAATTATTTTTACGTGGTAGAGCCATGTTGCGCCTATATGATGGTTGTAGCATGAGTGGAGCGGCTCGACCGGGGAAGGACCACGCTCTCATAGAATAGAAGAAAGAAAGAAAGAAAGAAAAAATATTTATTTTTGACACACACTAGGCACCAGAACATAGAAACAAAGTCAAAAAAAGTAACAATTTAAGGACAAACAAGCAGCCAGTTAAAATTAGGGAAAAAAATTATACATAACATATAAAAAAGAAAAAAAAAAGAAAAAAGTTTATCGACCAAATTGGCGATATTTTGAAAATGGGCCACGTTAGAAGTACCCTTAACCGACGAGCATGTATGCGTAGATGTATGGATGTAAAGGAGGCGAAAGAGGTATGTCAGGATCGTGCCAAATGGAAGTGCGTAGTCTCTGCCTACCCCTCTGGGTGACAGGCGTGAGTGTTTATGTATGTATGTATGTATGTATAATATATATTCTTAAGACTAGTGCCTCAGGGTGATGCCAAAAGATAGGTACCAATTCAGCATGATGTCAGGTTGGAAACCTAACGCTGATTTTCTATTGGTCCCCTGGAATACCAGCGTAAAATAGCAGCTTAATACTGCTATGATGATATGGATGATATTGGTTAATGGTTACTCTTACAGTGCCTTCACACCGCTAAGCACACTGTATAATGGATACATGCGGAATGACTCCACCACGCTAAAAATATAAAAATATTCCTGCTTAAAACCACATTTGCTGCATATACATTGTCCTGAAACTGGGGATCCTTCTCAAGATCTTGGGATCCAAGCTTTAATGGGAGCTCCGAGTCTAAAGCTGAGAACAAATTATCGGACGCGGCTGACGGACGCGGCTGACAGCCGCGGCTTATTGAGATCTAGCCAGTACATTTAATACTACACTGTGCAAACTATCGGCCGTAAGACGCGGACATGACCTTGCGTCGCTCTTGAGCGTTCGGACATCAGAATCTGGCCGGCTGGATGTTTGGTGCGTCCGCGGACAGTGTGAACGGGGCACGGGACGCGTCCGCGGACGTTTCGAGTGTCACAAGCGAACCAACTGCGCTCGCGACATGATGTGTAATGAAAAAAAAAAATTAATTGAATGTGTTCATGGCCACGAGTGCCTATATTTATAAGTACATATTAGTACATTCATAAGTACATTTTTTAACGTTTATCATCTTTTTGTAAGTCTGGATACAATGTATGAAATTCATCATACTCGAGTCGTTTTACATTAATATCATGGACAAGGAGTGTTTGGGTCCCCTATTTTTTGGAGGACGATATAAAGCAGCTGCCGCTAGCTTAATGTAAAAACACCTGCTTGCGCACACACATGCTAAAACCCATGCCTAAAGCTTTTTAGTTCACGCCACAACATCGTACGATACAGTCTCACTCATTAAACCGACGTCAGTTTAAGAACTGCTTATTCTTAAGGTGCAATTCCGTAGCCGACTGCAGACAGCAGCAGCTAGTGGCATGTCATCGCGACACAACTGTTTACTACGTAGTTCTATGAAATACGTTCCGTAGCTAGCGACACGTCGTTTGCCTAGCGGCAGACGACAGTGTAGTGTAGCCCGACCGCAGATCAGTAGTGCAGACAACGCCCGAGCTACAACACGTTGAATTTTTCTTAAAACATAAGTTTCACTGATTCAAATCAAAAGATACAAAAACAAATCGCGATCGCTAATTTCAAACACGTCACACATCATGTCCCACTGAACACTCGGGCTGCTGCCGTCTGCAGGCGGGTTCGGAAACATGACTGCAGCGACATGACGCCACGACATGTCGCCTGCTGCTGCTGTCGGCAGTCGGCTACGGAATTGCACCTTTAATGACAATTGATAAAAGGCAATACAAAAGCATAAAAGTAGATGAGACCGTAAATAAATATTTAGCTAATGATTTCTTATATTTACGCGAACACTACACATTGAAATAATACTAGTTTTTACGGAATTTATCGCGTATATTTAACTTTTATTTGCAATTACCAGTCCGTACTGGTTTACATAATGATTTCTTATATTTACGCGAACACTACACATTGAAATAATACTAGTTTTTACGGAATTTAATATATAATTCCGTAAAAACTAGTATTATTTCAAATATTTAGCTGTCTTGATGCACAGAACATTTTTTAACCTATGCTTCTTTTAGCTCGTAAATTAAAAAAAAATGGCCCAAGAGGCGTCTTCCTGAAATAGCACAACTTAGTAAAACGATCATAATTGAATGTTGTGCAGTTGAACTTATAGAGCATAAACTTAAAATAATATGTACCTATAGACCTCCAAAAAATAGAAATGAAGATTTGAATAATTTTTTGTATAATTTTGACTTAATATTAAAAAAATACTGTAATAATAATAAAAATAAAATTATAATTTGTGGAGATTTTAATATAAATATAATAGATGCAACCAAAATTTCTAAAAATTTTATACAACTATTAACAAGCTACAATCTAAAAACAGCTATAAAAGTACCTACACGACTAATTAGTGATACATGTATCGACAATATTTTTCACAATATTCAAGGGTGTAAGAGCAATACTTATGACTTAGCTTTGTCAGACCATACGGCACAACTGTTAATATGCCCAGTCAAGCAAAGCTACTATCTTAATTACTGGCATATAAGCAGACGCGATTACAATGTAGAAAATCTTCACAAATTTAACAATTACTTGAGCTCTCTCACTTTCAACGAGGTTTATAAGGAAAAAAATCCTAATCTTGCTTTTGACCAATTTCATGACTTGTTTACCCTCCTCTATCGCCTATGCTTTCCTGACATTAAAATTAAAGTCTATTCACGTAAACAAACAAAATGGTTATCTAATGGGATAAAAAAATGTACTAAGCGTAAACGACAGTTATTATGGCAATACAGAAAAAAACGCAGCGTAGAAAATAAAACTATATTAAAAGAGTATTCCCAACGTCTAAACAAAATTATCAAACTTACCCAAAAGTCCCAAAATAATTACTATATTAACACAGCACAAAATAAATCTAAAGCTACCTGGCAAGTTATAAATAAATACAAAAATGCCACAAATGAAGAAGCAATTAGTAAAATTATTGTTGATGGTGATATAATTGAGGATCCTCTAGTTATAGCTAGGGCATTTAATAATTTCTATACCAACAAAATTAATAAAGACCGCCCAAATAGTGATAAACCATATAAGTTAACTTTTAACAATCCCAATTCAATTTTTATACCACCCACAACATCATTTGATATAGATAAAGCTATAAAATCTCTTAAAAACACAAACAGTACCGGTTGTGATGAAATTTGTACAAGAGTTCTAAAATACGTATCCGGTGCAATTGCTCCGGTACTTAGTTATATTTTCAATTTATGTATTTGTAATGGTATATTTCCTGACTACCTTGAAACGTACAATATTCTTAGAGAAGAACAAATAGGATTTAGAAAAAATAAGACTATAAATATGGCTCTATACAATTTTTTTAATACCGTTATGTCTAGCCTAAACAATAAAATACCTGTATGTGCACTTTACATGGATCTTACTAAAGCATTTGATTATGTTGATCATAAAATATTACTCAAAAAGCTTGAAGCCTACGGCATTCGAGGTAATGCACTAGATCTACTAACATCATATTTAGTTAACAGAAAACAAAGTACACACATTACAAAAATTTGTCTAAAATCAAGAAAAGAAATGACCTATGTTTCTGAATTCAGAGTCGTACAAACTGGAGTACCGCAAGGAAGTGTTTTAGGACCATTGTTGTTTCTTATTTATATCAACGACCTTCCCAACGTCATTAATCACAAAATAGTATTATTTGCTGACGATAGCACAGTTATTTTCACTAGCAGAAACAAAATAGATTTAGAAAGTAACATACACTTTGCTTTAGAGAAAATCATGAATTGGCTAAACATAAATAATTTAAATATAAATTTAGAAAAAACAAAACTTATGACATTCTATCAAAAACGTAATAAAATAAATAATTTAAATATCAATTATCTAGGACAAAAAAATCAATACCATAGATAATATAAAATTTTTGGGTATAAATGTAGATTGCAATTTGAACTGGCAGTCTCATGTGAGCAGTGTGTGTATGAAATTAAATCGTTTTTCGTATGCGTTATATATGCTTGGAAAAGTTGTAGACACATCCGCCGTAATGGCATCATATCATGCTTATGTTATGTCTACACTTAGATATGGTATTATGTTCTGGGGTAATTGTACGGACAAAGAAACAGTATTTAAAGCTCAAAAGAGATGCTTACGAGCCATTTGTAAAATTAACCAAAGTGAGAGTTGTAAGCCATACTTCATTAATTTAAAATTATTAACAATGCCATGTCTATATATATATGAGGTAGTCTTATTTGTACGTCAAAACTTAAGTTTTTACAAAAAACTAAATGTCCAGCGTCATAAAGATAAATTGAGCCATCCCAATAGTAAGACTGTTTTGTTTCAAAAAAGCGTATTCTGTATGGGTCCTCGACTGTATAACCATTTACCTAAATATATAAGAGATTCTAAGAGCTTTCACATTTTTAAGAAACAACTAAACACATTTTTAACCATAAAAGCGTATTATAATATTGACGATTATCTATATGACAATTTTTAAATTTTAACTATCAAATTTATTGAACGAAACGTTATCTATGTTATTAATTTTGAGACAATTTATACCTACTCGTTTTGACATTATTACTTGGACATTACAATTTTAATTATTACATGTATTTTATCATTATTTTGTGAATTATTATTATGTTAGTAGCGCAAATATACAAATAGGGTTATATTATGTTAATGTAATTATCGGCATTTTCCATTTAATTTTAATTATAAAGCTAAAATCTAATATTTAAGTAGTTTGCATACCGAAAGGTAGAATATGGCTGTATTTTGTTAAATTATTAAGACCTATTGTAACCCATATATCGCAAATGAATAAAATGAATTTGAATTTGAATTTGAATTTGAATTTGACATTATTAGCAGGTTAAAATCGGGCAGTCTTACCGCTTCCCTGAAAATCCAGTCCTTCGTCTCCACGTCTCTTATTATCTCGTCCCGTTTCTTCATCCAGTTCGGGAATTCCCCACTCTCCACCAGCTCCATCCACTTACGTGCATGTCGCATCCTGAATTAATTACAACAATATCCAACAGAGTGAGAACCAAACATAGCAAATTTATAGCACGTGGACACCATGGCATGGCACAAGAACGTCCACTTGTTTTTCTTCTGTATCTAACCTTAAAAACTATTGGTGATACGGGTCGCTCCTCTCGTAGGAAGGGTTTGCCTAAATCACGTGGATTAACGATCTCAGTACAGACCGCAGCACAGCACTGAGCACCTTGGACGCTGCTGACTGTCGCCTATCTATGTTTTGAGATCATAATTTTTTCATGTGTGTTCCTGTCCCTTTCCCACAATCAGTGGGAGTGATTTCGTGCAAAAGGAGCGGAAGTGTGTAACTGGAAGCCGAGGAAGCGCGGGCTATTCGATTTGATCAATGAGCGCGTGCAGTGGTAGTAAAGTGTGCTGTTATATAAAATAATTTATATATGTAAACTATATTAATAAATGTATTTACTGTTGATAATAAGTGTCTGAAAAAAGTGCAGATCATTGATAACATATGCAAATGTGTAATAGTGAATAATTACTAGCATTATTGTTGGGTATAGTTTTGTATAAGAAATTTAAAAGTGTGAGAAAATGTAAATTAAACTGTTGTATTGGTTAACTTATGTATAATTTCAAGTGGAAAACATTGTTTTAACTTTCTATGTTAAATATTTAAGAAATTTCGACTTTGAACCTGTGAGTAAAATAGGCATATTTTGTTAAATAAATAATAGGTTTTTTGTGATATGAAAATGTAATGTATATCGTAGTGTAGATATTGTTTTGTGCTATCTATACAGGTAAATTATGTTGATGTATGACTTATGCAAATAAAGTAATTAAGTAAAACGTGAGAGAGTAATAGAACAAATTCATGTAATTGAGTTGCGCAAGCGCGCGAATGGCGCGGCTCACTTTCGCGTATAGCTCTGGGGTAGCTCAGTAAATGAGTTTTATTGCAATTCGTTCGGGAATCCTTCGGGAAAAAAGTTCGGGGAAGTTCGGGGAAGTTCGAGAAATAAGTACGAAAATCCTTCGGGAAAAGTGCAAGACCAGCAGTCAATAAGAAGAAAGAAAAAGTGTAGGGAAGTGATAGGGAAAAGTAATTACTCTCTCACGGAACGGTTTGAAGATAATTGCTGTTTTATTCCCAAGAAATTCATCCCTCAAAATTATACAGTCCACATCGAAGAATTAAGGCGTTGGGACCGGGACGACTTCGGAAGACCCGTAATCCCCGTCTGAACCTATTTGCTGAAAAGGAAGAGGTTGTCGCCCTTGTGTGTTGCTCCGTTGCGGAGATCACATACGTTGTTCCCGAACCCAACGTAGGCGTTATAGGAGGCCGGATCGAGAGAAGCCTCGATTCCTCCCTTCTGTTTCTTAATCCCCGGGTTGGTTTCTTTTCAATTGGTCCTTCGTGGCCGGATCAAGAGGACCCCCGAATCTAGTTCCTTTTCAATTATAAATATTTCAATATTTAGCAGGAAATAAAGTAAATGGGGCTCTAAATTTTATTGTCAAAGTCAGAATGTGTCAAAAAAGGTACGTATGGCATTTCACAATACTGTGTTAGTCCGTACTTTAACGTATGGTAGTGAAAATTGGGTATGGCAGAAGAAGCACGAGAGTAGAATAAATGCAGTAGAAAATGCGGTCGCTAAGGAGTATGTTAGGGCTGAATCTGAGTGACAGGGTATGAAACTTTTTGATAAAAGAAGAGTGTGGTTTGCAAGATGATGTTGTGATTTAAAAAAAAAGGAATGCTTTGGTGGTTTGGTCATGTGGAAAGAATGAATGAGGAAAGAGTGACAAAGCAAATTTATGTTGCAGAAGTCAATGGAAGGGTCGGAAAGGGACGTCCTAGGCGAAAGTTTATCGATCAAATTGGCGATATATTGAAAATGGGCCAAATTACGAATACATACCATTCTAATCTAAAGGAGTACCCTTGACCGAAGAACCTAAATACGTTGGTATATGAATGTGGAGGAAGCGAGAGAGATGTGTCAGGATCGTGCGAAATAGAAGTCTGTAGTCTCTGACTACCCCTCTGGGTGGCCGACGTGAGTGTTTATGTTTATGTTTTAGCTATTTTAAAATTTATAGGTTAATTTCCGCCGCTGCTCAATTGGTATTTGAAAATGAAACAATTTTTATTTCAGTATATGTTAATGTTATTTATTACTAAGGTGAGACATTAGATGTTACACGTCATATGCGACTACTGTAAGGCACGCTCAATTTTTATGCTTGGTTTTTTTTAACTGAAATGACGAACGATCTTACAGCCTACTAATGGTAAGTGACTACTGCAATGCATAGATACCAGCAGTCAACTCCAAACAAAGAAGGCTAAAGATTCGTTGTCAGCTATAAGAACTAAGATGAAATACCTCAAAGTCTGTAATTATATTGGCTACCCTTAAAAGCGAAACACAGCAACGCATGCATTATTGACGACGGAAATATTATTTTATTTTATTGTATTTGATACGTGGTAGAGCCATGCAGCAGTTATATTAGTAGTATGGTTGTAGTACGAATGGGTCGGCTCGACCGGGGAAGGAACACGCTCTCACAGAATACCAGCGTGAAATAGTGGCTAAATGCTACCCTTTTTACTGGAAACGAGGCATTCCATCTTAGTCCTCAGGGGTGACAGGGCATCTGCATTTTGATTTGTAATCGAGGATAGATGTAGATGTCCATGGGCCACAGCGACCACTTACATCACTGTGGACTGTGTGCTCGTTTGTCACCCTATCCTATAAAAAAAATACCTACCCATAGGTATTCCTAGACAGAAAACGACACGCATACAGTGCAACTAATAATAAGAAAAAGCAGTAGCCCATAGTCACCAGAAAAGTTATAAAAATATTTGACATTATTTTTCAACATAAAATTCTTACTCTAATAATCTATTCCATTAATATTAATAATTAAATCAAATAAAAGAGCTGCATCACTGGTACTGTTGCGCGCCATATAGTTCATGAAAGATAACTTGATCTCTGCGACAGCTGTCAGTGAAATCACACCTATGAAGTCCTGAATTTCTTAGTAGTACAAAGACACACAGTACCTGTCAATGTCATACTTTATGGGCATGCACTAAATTAGGTCAGCATGCTTAGGCGTGATTTTACTGACAGTTGTCGCAGAGATCAAGCTATCTTTTTTTGACTAGAGAAAAAAGAAAGGACATAACATAAAGATCATTAGTTGTAGGAATGTAATGAAATATCGGCGTCTCTTTTTAGCTTATGGGTATATTCGTATGTAAAAAAGGACAACATTAGTTTTATCATTACCGAATATGGCAACAATTTTTTCGATGCGGCCGGGCGCCATGTTTTGTCGCAGTCAAAGACAACCAGTTGTCATTGCGACTTTAGTGAGGTGAGTGTGTTATTTCCATATGTTTATCTCGTGGAATTCGATTATTACGAAATTTCTTATTCTATTCCTCGGGACCTCTAAATTGGGATATATAGTATCCTATATGTTAATTCAGATAATAAACTATTTGTGTGCCAAATTATTACATTCAAACTAGTCTGATACTTTTGGCGTGATTGAGGAACAAACAAACATTCAAACTTTTGCATTTATTATAGTTTGATTGGTGTGAGTATGATGACTGAGCCTAATTTATTGTCTAACAAACAAACAAACAAACAAAAATTTTTTTAATTAGTATTCCTTATTTAGTAATTCCCGGGAAATAATTGTAACATTAATAATAGATAATTACATTATAAAAACAAAAAAATTACTGCTTAAACGTAATGAACTGAAAACGTAGGTATTACTTGTAATATATTTCAGTAATTTCCTTTATTTTAATACCCCTATCGACAGGTTGAGTAAAAAAAATGAAGGACCTACAATTTAGCGTCAAAAATCCGTCAAATTGATTTAAAAAAAACCTATTTAGGAACACACGGGTGTTTGAGACAAATCACACGAAAGAATCTTTCTAAATAAGCGACACATTATCGATATTAATTATAGTGCGCAGCACTACGTCAAGCCGCCATTTTTGTGCCAGACTCAGTTTAGGTATACACGTTTTTTTCGTAGGAATGTCATGTCCTTTCTTTCTTCTCTAGTCAAAGCTACCTTTTATGAACCATAGTTGATGCCTGGTATATGGCATACAGCATAGCTCTACCACGTATAAACCGTGGTTCCGCCGTTGCTCTAGTGGTGCTTAATCTATGAATTCAGTGACTCTTTTGTCTACGGTTTCATTTAATTACCAGCAATCGTTCGTTTTCCTGAGCGCTCCTGGCTTTTGTTACCACTATACGCTATTGTTGTCATTTCACCAACATGTAAAATGAGTATTTTTCGAAATTCGAATGAGTATTTTTCGAAATTCGAATGAGTATTTTTCGAAATTCGAATAAGTATTTTTTACGTGGTAGAGCCACGCTGCAACTAAATATATTATAGTTTATAGCACGAATGGTTCGGCTCGACCAGGGCGGGAACACGCTCTTACAGAATACCAACGTAAAATAACAGCTCCATGCTACTGTGTTTCGTATGGTGAGTGTAGAGAACCGAAGACCCTTTTTATTGGAGAAGAGGCATTCCATCTTAGTCCTCACGGATGACAACGCATCTGCATTTTGATTCGTAATCAAAATGCAGATCTCATTCTCTCAGAATCTCATCTACATCTGTAGATGTCTATGGGCCGCAGAATCCACTTAACATCAGGTGGACTGTGTGCTCGTTTATCATCCTATTCTATAAAAGAAGGACCAATAAAAAAATTTGTTGCAATTTTAAGTGCTGATTTACCATTTGTTTGGCGGTGAATGAAAACATCGTGAAGTAACCTGTCTGTCTGAGATATCAAAAAAAATATTTCAAAGACATATGAAGTTCGCCAACACACATTTTGGCAGTACGGCGGTTATTTCCTTGCCCTAAAACCCTCTCAGGAATGAGAGGGGGCGTGAACCCAGCTGTGGGACGTTTGTAGGCTGTATCTTTAACTTTAATTATAAATTTGCTTTATGTGTGGAAAAATACATCCATTTCTCATCCTAATCGGTATTTTTATGCGCTCCGCACGTAACAATACTCTTATTTTTGGTATTGACCATATAGAAAATAGAGCTCGACGCCCCAGCCGTAGGGCATTGCGGTGCGGTCCACACTTAGGGAGGCGTCACTCTTACGCCGCTATCACACGTTTCAAATGTCTTCAAGTAACTTACTTGTTTATAATTTCGGTAGTGTGAAAGTCAGCAGGTAGATCACCTTTCCGATATGGACATCCTGGACCTGAATAAAAAAATCTGAATAATACAAATATAGGATATGATCATCCTGTCAATATGGTCACTTTCTTATTACTCAAAAACTACAGCCTTGTTTGCATAGGTGGCTGTGTGATACGATAGCTCTTCATCAGTAAATCAAATAATAAAAGTAAAAGGTCAATATAAGGCGCTGATACATTGAGGCCATTTTGACAGTTTATATTATAGTAAATATTTTAGTCGATTTTATTATTGTGTAATTTTATTTTAATTTGAGTTTTCGAAGTGTTCCTAATTATTGATAAAGTTTGTTTGCTATTTCTTTCTTAATAAGTAGAAGTATACGACTTTATGTTTAGGCCTCTGTCTTCCTCCCAGTTTTGAGTTTATAGGAAGCTATTACCCTCCACGTACCTTAGTTTAAATATTAAATATAACTTTCATAATAAAATATATATAACATTAAATATAGCTATACTAATGGTTGTTGGTAAATTTGTTAGTGATCCTGTAACTTCTTACAAATCTGTTTCCTTCGAGTAGACCTCGTAAGTCGCAATCGTTGTAAAGCGTTAACGAATAGCTTTTTCCAAAAATACATGTCCGCTGACGCATTTTACTTGAACCAGGTCAATAATGTGAGATGGGAAGGCGCTCTATCTAGATCATACTCACTTTGGAGTGCGGTGTGAGACAGTCGATTTGAGTTCGCCCACGCCCCTCAACCTGTATGTGAATGAGCTGATAGGCAAACTCAACAGCATCAGAGTCGGCAGTCACATAAACGATGTCTGCGTCAACAACATTAGTTACGCAGAGTGCTTCTGTATGCTACGAAGACTGGTGAAGATTTGTGAAGCTTACGCCCTCACACATGGTTTGACTTATAATGTAAAAAAGAGCCACGTCATGGTCATTGAGACCGGGAGTAAGCGACATGACATAGTGCCATCTATTTCAATTAATGGTAATATTTTACAAAGAGCGTTTAGGTATAAATATCTTGCCCATGTTCTGACTCCTCGTCTCAGGGATGATGATGACATTGAGAGGGAACGGAGGGCGTTGTCAGTAAGAGCGAGCATGATAGCTCGCAGGTTTGCAGGTTGAACAGCGTGTTAAGTTAAAATAGCCCTGTTTAGAGCTTACTGCACGTCATTTTACACGTGCAGCCTGTGGGCTAGATATACTCAAAAGGCTTACAACGCCCTCCGAGTACAATATAACAACGCATTTAGGGTACTGCTGGGACTGCCTCGCTTCTGTAGTGCATCGGGGTTGTTCGCGGAAGCGCGAGTGGACTGCTTTTACGCGACCATGCGCAAGAGATGCGCGTCTCTGGTGCGCAGGGTGCGGGGGAGTAACAATAGTATCCTGAAAGTGATTGCTAGCAGCCTGGACTGCATATACATATGCCATTGTAGTGCCATATCGGATGGATTGGTGAGAAAAGGGCACATATAAATATAAATGTATTAATTTTCTAATAATATTATGCCTACTAACATAGTTTTAAATTTAGTTATAAGTAATACTAACAAAATATGAGCCTTGGTTGCTTAAATAAATGAATAAATGAATGAATTTTTGAGAAGGCCTATATCCCAGCAGTGTAGTAAAAAAAAACTTAAAACGGCAACGAATGACGATTCGTGTGAATTTTAAAATTATGAAATGGGTCCAAAATACATTTTTAATTTTAATTTTGTATTCTAAATCCGAGCTGTGGTAGCTCAGATGATTAGCGCACGCTGTTAATTGCACAGTACGCGAGCAACCCGGGTACGATCCCCGCCGGCACCAATGAAATTGTTAATTCCAATTTTAAGTGCTGATTTACCACGTGCTCGGTGGTGAAGGAAAACATCGTGAGGAAACCTGCTTGTCTAAGAAATAAGAAAAAAATACAAGAGAAAACACAAGAAAAAAGACATGTGAAGTTCGCTAACACGCATTGCCACAGCGCGGCGGACAATTCCTTACCCTAAAACCCTCTCAGAAATGGGCGGGGGCCTGTGCCCAGTAGTGGAACGTATATAGGTTGTAACTTTAACTTTTTTTTATTCTAAATCAAATCAATTTGTTTAGCATGTGGTTCGGTTTTGGAGAACAATATGCTGGTATGGTTGCAGAGTAGAGTGTAGTTGTATTCAGTGTGGTGATTGTATCATAGTGATGAATAAAGATGGCTCCATATTTTTGCCATGACTTTTTTCATTAATTTTTACGTGGTAGAGCCACGCTGCATCTATATTACAGTTGTATTACGAATTTGTCGACTCGACCGGGAAAGGAGCACACTCTCATAGAATACCAGCGTAATACTGCTGTTTTGTATGGTGAGCGTAGAGAACCGGAGACCCTTTATACTGGAATCGAGGCAATCCATCGTAGTCCTCAGGGTGACAAAGCGTAAATGCATTATTTTTGATTTTTAATTGAGAATTAATGTAGTTGTCTATGGGCCACAGCATCCACTTACCATTAGGTGACTATGTGCTCGTTTGTCACCCAATGCTAACAAAATATATCCACCTCGGACCAAGTATACTTTGCACTCCAACAGCTGCCTGTCTGCAAGCTTAAATTGTTTATTATAGCATAGCAAGTTGTATATTTTAATAATTTAAAGTTATTCTCTCAACTATAACACATTTAAAAAAAAAACTGGTTTTTGCGAATTTTATTGCGTCTAGTTTTTATATACGCTACCATCTGCTTGAGATCTTATAATTAATGAAATTAAATCCCAACCCAAGCATTGAATAAAACTTTTTTGTTCCAAGCATACAACTGCAAGACTTCAAGATACTATAAGCTCATACTGTATAGATCGGAACAAAAATTAATATTTTAATCTGTTGGTAACCGTGGTTAACTATGACATCTGGACGATGAACATCTCAGTCCCCCGTGACCATGGGAGCTGTAAACAGCTCGAAACGTCGAAATTTAAAAAAGTTAATATATGCGATAAAATCCGTAAAAACTAGGTTTATTTACGTACTTTAAAATTGATAAAACCGCTTTATTAATAGGCAAACAGTTAAAGTGTTTATATATTATATGATTTATGGGACACGGAAAGGGTTAAAGAGGAAATGTTTTTTATAAGTTGTCTGTTGTTATTTTTTTTAACTAAAATCTTGTAACGCTCACCCCATTCCAGTTTTTCAAGGTACAAAACTTCTGGAGTTTCCTTGCACCCTTCAGCCACCCGTGCTTCGGCTTGCCAAGGCACTGTTTGGGCTGAGGATTCTCTGGACACAAAAAGATAAGTTAACGTGGTAGATCCACACTGCAGCTATATTATGGCTGCAGCACTAATGGATCGGTTTGACCGGGAGAAGACCACGCTCTTATAAAATACCAACCTGAAGCAGCAGAATAACGCTGTGTTTCGTCTGATGAGCTTAGAGAACAAAGAGCCTTTTTACTAGTAACGTGTTCTTGACTTAATTTTATTCTTGATCATAGTCCTCGAGTGGCAGCGCGTCTTTGTTTCGATTCCCTTTTTTACAGCAGAGGGGCCAAACGAGCATGCAGCTCACCTGATACTAAGTGACCCATGAAAAACCGCAATACCAGGGGAATTGCAGGTGCGTTGTCAGCCTAATCGAGAATAGATGCAGTAGTGTATGGGTCACAGCATCCGCTTACTGTGGACTGGTGGACAGTGTGCTCGCTTGTCACCCATAATCTATAAGACAAGTAAAACCCGGCAACTACATACACGACCGTAATCCCTGCCATGGTAATCGACGTATTAAATCGTGGCTTTTGAGTTCTGGGCACGTTGCAACCGCCTTTGTGAGTCACAAATGGATCGAGGGTATTAAGCAATACCCTATACAATCGTATCGCAAAAGAATAACAATTATTTATTTTAAATAAAAAAACGAGCCGCGTCACTTGTACCGACATACACACACATACGAGGGCGACACTGAAAGTTTTTAGAACTGGCCACTTGTAAACGTTATAATAAAAAAGTTGTTCAAATTTTAAAAATGGAACTGATCGAAAGTTTGAAATTGGAGAGGATCGAAAAACAGTTATTGCAGAGTGGTACACTAACAATTGTTTGCCACTTGTCTTGAAAAAAGTTAGGGAGAAACGACCTCGCAGTGGGATCGGCTTTCACCACGACAACGCCTTGTCTCACACCACACACACAATCGACTACTTGGCGACGTCAGACGTGGAATTACTGGGTCACCCACCCTAAAACCCCGACATAGCACCTTCTGTTTTTTATTTATTTCCGAAAATAAAAGAAAACCGTTTTACGAATGCCGAGGAAGCAGTGGCTGCGTTTCAAGATGCAGTCGAAGAGACCCCTAAGGACGAGTTGGCCAAGTACTTTTCTCACTGGTTCCATCGGATGAAGCGATGTATTGATGTAAATGGAAACTATTTTGAAAAAATATAATAAAATTAATAATTTGCTAGTTTGTTCAGTTTTTGATTTTCTTAGAACTTTCAGTAACACCCTCGTATGTACATCTAATGTGACAAACACAAATAGGGCAACGCATTGGACGCGTTGTAGCCGTAGGTGGTACAAGGCTATACCGCGTACACCACATGGGGTGTCTGGGTGGTTCTCACCACTCAGAACACACGGTTAGATAGCTCCAAAATCCCATACGAGGACCTGATAATGGATACAAACCAAACCATATTCATCATTTTCGCCTCTCCGTTTTATATAGACGCGTTTTACAGGCCGCGGGCCTAAGTCACATGAAGTTGTAAAAGACAAAACTCTAACAGCACTTACATCTCATAATAAAGATCCTTAATCCCCCTGCTAAGTGTAAAGCTCTGGTTGCCTTGAATTGCGGTGCCTTTACATGACTATATAAACATAAGTGTTAAAATTAAAAAAATTGTACAACCGACTTCGATATAAATAAAATGAGAACATCATCAATGTATTCGAAGTCAATTAAATACGCATTATTAAAGATACCTCAAAAACTACTAGTCAGACGAATAAATTTATAAGGAACCACACGAGAAGCACGAGCTTTAAAAAAAAATTGGTTGCCTGTAAAGTCGATTTACGGACGATAATTTAACGTGACAACGTCATAACAAAACATTGATGAAATGATTGCATACTTTTATGAATAATTGAATCATTTTTATTGAATTATCACTATTTACAAGCTGACACTCAAGCCGATCGTGCCTTTCGCTCGCTCGAGCGGCGCTCTCGCTCCGATCGTAACGTTACAATCAGCGTAACGTTACAATGAGTCATTCTTCATCGTGTGTACAGCCGGTGTTCATCGAATTATTAGACGATGTTACGTCAAAAATAATCATCAAGATCAGTTCTCCCAGAAAAAAGTTCTGAGGTTACGCACAAAAACACACAGAGACGAATTGAGTACCTCCTTCTTTTTGAATACGGTTGAAAATAGTGTGGTTTCCTAGAGAGCGGTATTCGATTCCGTAACCGTGAAAAAGTTTAGCCGCTATTGTGTGACGGCTGTCTTGATAATGCCGGATAGTTCACGAACGTTTTTTCGATAGCGGTGACCGGTGACGAAAAACAAAATGAACTCCAACTTTAACTGCCCTGCTCCAGTTGCAGGACGATGAAATTTTAATAGATTTTGTATGTAACCATAATGTTATATATAATAGCTATTAAAGTTTCTGACATAATATTAAAAATAAGATGACCGTAGCGGTGATGGAACTTTCCACGCGTCGTCACCGTAAAGACGGCCGTCTTTTTGCCGCCGCTTTGTTACGGCCACCATATGGCAACACCGTAGTCTTAGGAAACCAGAGCATAAGAGGGTAGACGGTCTGCGCAGGAATTGAAAAATAGGTATTTGAAGGAACTATTGCCGTCCCTCAGTTCTGGTCTCCACCCGAAGAGTGCGATAGGGACAACTGCACCTCAAAACGATTTTACCTACAGAAACCATGACCGATGGTCGTTTCGTATTCCCCTGTTTTCTCCTCGAAAACTAAGCCAATTAAATTATTTTTGGTATCATAATTTAAAGTAAGAATAGATCTTTGCTTCTATCATTTGCTTTTATCATAAAAACTTTTCAAATTTCTTTGGTAGTCGTCTGATTACGGAGGTAAAAACGGGACACTTTTTTAGGTTTTTGGAAAGTTATATTTATTTTTGAAATAATTTTTTGAAAAAACGTATATGACAGGTGCATGCCTTCTATAGATCTAGATTTTAATAAACAAAAAAGATTACTCTAGAGGCATTATCCAGGAAGAAAATAGGGGAATACATTTGTACGGAAAAAATGCAGCCCGTCTACCCTCTTAACGATTACGACCAATTATTCCCCTTGGCTTTCTTGCAACGGGAGAAACTAATCACCAGCAGTGAACTTTTACGAGCAGAAACCATCAATATTAGCTTAAGCTACCGCCTCCCGTGCGATTGTAAAAGGGTGGTAACCATCCCGGGCGTCGAGGGGCAGCGAGATCTCGCGCTCAGATAGTGTGTCAAACACTCTCGTCATAGTAGTAATTTACTTTGATAATAGACCTGTATGGTAGTACCTTTTGCCAGTGTAAAGTAATAAGAAAATAGCCTTTAAAATATATTTTTAAACTTCTTTATATTACGTTGATGTGAGCGGCAGAAAGTCGATGACGATATTATCTAAAGGCGTTTAAGAAGATACATTATCATGAGCTTCACATCACCATCGGAGATTGTATTTCATCGTTTTTACTAACAGTTCACACGTATTATAAACCGCTGCAAACCTAATATAGGAGCGATCCGTTTGCGTTTAAGTTTCCATCAAAACTCCAGGGATATTCCTTGATCAAACAGCTCAGTCCAGTGCTGCCAATTACCCTACTCTGTTCTGTTCTGCTCTGTTCCGTTCCGATCGAATGAAATATTATATTTCATTCGATGCTATTCCATTCTATTTTAATATATTGCCCGTACCTGTATACGCTCTGGGTGCCGCGGTTTCGAGGTCGAGTGTCGACAGCCGGCTCGTACGATGGTGTCGGTGGGTTGAAGTCTGGAGTAGCACTTTTTAAATGAAGCACCTTTTTGGGCCTGAAATAACGGTAAGATTTTAGTTGGTGTGATTTAGTAGGTTTGTGGAGAGTTAACTAAGAGGGGGTATCAATTTAAATCTAACCTGGTAAGCATAATAGTCGCGGTGATACTGGCCTTGTTAGTTAGGACCTGCATGGTTTCTCAAAAAAAAATGATACGTGTCTACTCCTGCGCACGACTGCAGTTTACTCCATAAAACGATTATCTTGATCACCGATTCATCTCAAATTAGTAACATTTAGGCTGTCTAGTGTCTTTGTGGACAGATCCAGGGCCAAACAGTTCGTAAATTAGGGAAGAAGTGCATCCCAACCTCCTAAATGGAAAGGAAGAATGAGCAAACATCTGCACCAATCAGCAAGGCGGCTGCAAAGCCTTCTGTCGCTGCACCGAGATTAGCTCGGCAACAGAGGTGCCTGAGTTATAAATCCTCCAGGGCAATCTGAACCACTGCGGAACTGCACAGCATCTGCCGCGCTATTTTCCGTCTCCGACTATTCTCGTTGGCTTGGTGATGAATCGAGCTCTGCCGCCATCTACGGGGCGGTAGGGTGGAGAGGGAGGAGGGGACAAAATCTACGAGTTAGGATTAGAAATAGCGTCTCACAAAACTGAGGCCCATGGCTGCATAATTGGGGCGGACCACGCGATCGTGGTCTGAAGTCAAAGTGGGGCGGTGCATGAAGTACCTCTCGAAGGAGGCTTCGAAGAATATTTCAAGCGCCTAGTCCCCAGGATCGAAAGGTGGGGTGCTAGTAATTGGCAATTCTGTACCTTCGCAATGGAATTTGCTATGCATAGACTGCTGCCCAATCAAGGGGGACCAGCGGAGGAAGTATGTTGCTTCTAGCATGAGTTATACGAACCGTATAGCCGTATATAGGCCGGCCACCAGACACTGTAGAACTAAAATCTATAGTTTCCAGCGAAAGATGGCCACAGAGATTGTACGAGGGTACCACACTATGTACTTTCAGGCGGCGACAATCCTGTCTAGCTTTCCACCTCTAGACATACTGACGGATATTGACGCGAGGGTATACGACCGCATCCGTGCCCTCCGCCAGAGTTATTTTAGTGAGCCAAAAGAGACGCTCGAATCAGTTAAACAGCAAGAACGACAAAACGCTTTGGCGACATGACGCACTCGACACGCGACATTGAATGCAAACGCGTCATTAGGGCAATCCTGACGGTCTTAGAGGCCTAGATGCAGCGGCAAGGAGGAAGATTAGAATAGAATATTTTTTATTAAATATAGATTAAATGTAATTCTTATTGAATGTCATTTTTTACTTTACCATTGACACATAAAAATCTTCTCTCCTGGGAAGAGCTAGCAAGTAACCCAGCGAGACTTTTTTTTAAATAAAGTTATGGTTACAAAATATTAACAAAATTTATTTTAGAACAGCTTGGAAGCGACCACCTCATTCCCAGAGATTATTATCAACCATGTATTCATTTATATCATAATAACCCTTTTTATACAGTTTTTGTTTAATTAAATATTTAAACTTAGTAATAGAGATCTTTTATATTTTCTGGGACTTTGTTGTAATAGCGTGTACATTGCCCAAGAATGTATTACTGACTCTGTGGTGTCGAGAAACTTGTATCACTAGCTAGTGTTTACAGAGTGTATATCACTAATTTTATAACTGTATCGTTGGTCTAGTGGTTGTAGTAGTGCGACTACTAATCATGAGGTCCTAGGTTCGAACCCCGGGTCGGGACACAAAAGCAATTTTTGAGTTTTTCCGTCAAGAAATTCTCAGTAGCTGCCCGGAGTCAGGAAGTTGGCGGTGTCTCACACCCTTGCCTCGGAAAGCACGTAAAGCCGTTGGTCCTGCGCCTGATCTCTCTCCGGTCTTGTCGGTTAACCGTTCCATCGGATTATAAGAGTGAGTGAATAGAGAGTGCACCTGTACTTGCGCATACACTTGGGCACTATAATCCTGTCCTGCGCCGATGGCTAGTCTCCGTTGAGGCAGGCCGCCGTGACCGAAATTCGGTCTGGTTGGAATTATTATTAATATCTTTTTTTCACCTACAGTCTTTAACAGATATTTACCGGGCACGGATGCTTCGGTAATAATCTGATGAAGATCAGACACGAGGCGAGCGCGAACTGCTCCCGCTGCGATGTACGGTGATATGGTTGTGGAACGTCCAGCGTGGTAACGGAGCGGTCGGGATCCTGGTAAAGCGAATTAGACGGAACCACCTCCAGCAGTCGTATCGTGTGAGATCGTAGTCAAGTACTGGCTCAATATAAAAAGAAAATATAAGTAGAAACCAATTAGTTTATCAGAAAAAAATATAGAAACAAAAAGTTTTGTTACACTAATTAATACTTACTATTTTAAAATGAAAAAGCGATATTAAGTAAACGAACACACTCACATTGCACAAAATTTGAAGTAATACTTCCCATTCAGCTCAGGAGTCGGCACACAGCGTCTTTCTTGCACCCTCTCTCTGTAAGCATTGTAGGAACGGTCCATGTGCTCCGGCAGGCGGCAATTTGGATGATACACTGCGTTAAAAGAAAAAAAGGCCGTAGATATGTGTCAATCGTAAGTGATTAGTTCATTTGACTCGGGTCGCATCAAATCATTGATGATTGCAATTACATTTTTGAACGTTCGGGATGAAACGATGAAGAGGATCTACGACTAAAGAGTAAGAAATGCTCGACAACCAACATTATCGAGCGGGTCTCACAGATCACAGATTACTGAAACTCGAAACGATCTATTTGAATGATCGACCAGAATGACCCGGTTCGTAAAACAAATCAATACTTGAATGATTTTGATGAAACGAAAGAATTGCACACGTCTAAAAGCCACAAGGCTTTAAGCACATATTAATCCCACGGCTGGGCAGAGGCCTCCTCTATTTTATTGGAAGGTTAAGGAGAAACTTAGTCCGATATAACACCACAATAGTTACTGCTGTGTTTTTATGGTAAATAACAAAACCGGATAAGAACGCCCCATTGCAGCAATTGAATTGAATGAGCATGCTTAAAAAATTAACTATAAATTTATTCGTATTAATAAAGTTCAAGTGTATTGTCTGTATTATCAAATGATAACAATGTCCTCCAGACCGAATTTCGGTCACGGCGGCCTGCCTCAACGGAGGCTAGCCATCGGCGCAGGACAGGATTATAGTGCCCAAGTGTATGCGCAGGCACAGGTGCACTCTCTATTCCCTCACTATCACAATCCGATGGGACGGTAAATCCGATCCGACACGACCGGAGAAAGATCAGGTGCAGGACCAACGGCTTTACGTGCTTTCCATGGCGCGGGGGTGAGACACCGCCAACTTCCTGACTCCGGGCAGTTTACTGAGAATTTCTTGACTTTTTTTTTGAATTCATTTTTTTGCCCCGACCCGGGATTCGAACCCAGGACCTCATGATCAGCAGTCGCACTACTACAACCACTAGACCAACGAGGCGGTTAGATATTAGTATTAGTATTATCAAAATAGATAGGTTGACTGTGTGCCCGTTTGTTACCCTTAGGCCCGCCACATACATTTGGAATTTCGTTTCGGGATTCCAATCTGCACTAGTTTCGTACATTCCGTTTCGGAATTCCGTATGTAGCGTGTGGTGGGCCTTAGTTCTGTAAAATATGTAGTTTTTATTAGCTTACCTACTTGCACCCTCGGGAACTTTTGGAGCTCCGAGAACATTGTGTCGTATACGGGATGGACGGTCTGAAAATGGAGAGAAAAAAATAAAATAATGTAATCGGAATTCGCTCTATCCTTTCAATCTAACCTAATTCCTATTGAACGGTCAGTTATAGTTTTTTTTTAATACAAAATCGATTTTAATAAGAAAAATAAAACTGGACAAGTGCGTGTAGCCATGCACAATGTTACGGAGGTAGGATTTCGTAGTTAAACGTCGCAATACGTGGGCTTTGTGTATTATAATGAACGTATTAAGTGAGTTCGCGGTTTGACCGCTATAACGACTAAAATTAATCTATTTAGATCTAAATAGGACGATGTTTTTATATAGTTCTTTTATACGAATCAAAATGCAGATGCGTTGTCACCCGTGAGGACTAAGACGGAATGCCTCGTTTCCAATAAAAAGGGTCTCCGGTTCTCTACACTCACCATACGAAACACAGCAGCATTAAGCTGCTATTTTACGCTGGTATTCTGTGAGAGCGTGGTCCTTCCCCGGACGAGCCGACTCATTCTTGGTACAACTATACTACTAATATAACTGCAGTATGGTTCTACCGCGTAGAGGTAACTGAAGGACTTATTTTTTGAATTGCCTCTCACTATGGAAGACTCATGTCAAAACTGCAGTTGACAACTCGCCCGCCAAGTCTGGGAACTATGGCACATAACCACCTTATAAGATAATCTATGAAGAGTCCTCGTGTACGAGGACGAGGCTTTGGACTTTCCATAGGCTGTAATCAATTAATGAAGTCATTTCGAACAGTTTTTTACCATTTGCGCTGAATTTATGGCGGCTTTAAAAGCGGCCCTGGCGTAGTCACGAGCCCCTGATACGATGAAGGTGGAATCTGGGAACAAAAAGAACCTGTGTGCATGCTATGATCACATCTCAGATAACTTTTTCAGCTTATATCAGCTGAACTTAGCTACCTATATACATTTTTACAAATTATATAAATATATGCAGCTGATTGTTAGGACTTATTCCAGCCGCTCAATTTTACCATCACACAACGCGACGGAATTCGAGATTCCACCCTTACCACCTGGATGATTGGTGGTCCACTACTATGCGATTTACAAGAAGTTTCCTTCCTTGACGAATCGACTACGGTGATGTTATTGGTGTATGTTGAAGAAAAGAAAATCATTTAACTCGTTGAAACTAACAAATATATAATAATATCAACATAGAACCTCGTATATGAATAAAAAATAATGACTATGTTTAGCCATTAAAATCCTTCATTCCACCATTGGACTACCAGTCGGCTGGTCCCCAGCTCCATATTTTTTTATAGGATAGGGTGACAAACGAGCACTCAGTCCACTTGATGGTAAGTGGTTGCTGTGGCCCATAGACATCTACATCTATCCTCGATTATGAATCAAAATGCAGATGCGTTGTC